TCTTGAGCTCGAGGAGATGAGGAATCAAGTGCTTGAAAGAGATCAGAAGACTTCCATCAGCTTCAAAGACTTCAGTAAGATTATTTAATTGATTTATTCTTTTAGTTGTTCTCACGGACTTTCCTTGCAGAAAAAGGATCGACAATTCTGGCCGTGATTATTTGCTTCATCCTCACAATGAATATGAACTTCTCAGGACTTCCGATTACAATGGCATTAACTGAATCTCTCTTGGAAGCCTCCGAGATTCCCTTTGACATCTCTTCTGCAGATATGATAATTTCTGCTCTCCAAATAATCGCTGCTTTAATTAGTATTTTCATCCTTCGCAGAATTGGAGTTCGGCTATCATTTCTTATCTTTTTCTTCGTCAGTTGCCTGGCGTATGTCGGAACAGGATCTTGCTATGCAGTGCGAGAAAATGGATTCGATTTGCTGCCTTATACTTGGATATATCTAATCTTCCTTGGATTCTCTGTTATTGTTCCATCAACCATTCATAACAGTCTCAGCGTTAGTTGCTCCTCCTTAATTCTGCCCGTTAAACTTCGGGGCAGCGTTCTAGGAATCTTCAATTTCATGGTGCTCTTATCTGCTTTTTTCACGACGCAGTATTATTTTTCCTTTGCGAATACATTCGGGAACTCAATTGTGATGAGCATCTTTGGCTTTTGGTGTCTCTTTGTCATGATCTTTATGTACTTTTTCTTTCCTGAAGTGCATAGAAAAACCTACGTTGAGATTGTGTTTTCTCTGGAGCAGAGAATTCCAAGCGTCTTTAAGAAGCATTAAACAGTACTTTTTATATAAAAGAGAGTCAATGAATCTGTATAATAAAGATAAACGATGAAGTTTTTTTTTGGATCCTTTTGCGTAAAGCAAATCATAAACTTCTTAACGTTGAGAAATGCATTGTAAAAACATATGACACTGTAGCAGGTTTTCAGGAAAATTCAACGTAATCAGTCTGTAATTATTTGAGCTGACGATAAGATGTTGTTTGCGGTAAATCATGGAAAGTTAATTCAGATTTTAGTGACAATTTTGGGTGATTTAGCTAAAATTCTATTTAAATAGATGAAAATTTATTCAGATTACTATACTTTTAGTATCGATCTCAACGATTTTCTCTGGAATTTATGTCGGTTGGAATTCACCACTCGTCACAATCTTATCATCTGATGAAAGTCCTTTGCTCAGCGGCAAAATGAATGATGACGAAGTGTCTCTCATGTCTTCTCTGATCTATTTGGGCTCTATTCTGGGATCCTTCTCCGCTGGTTGGCTGGTGAACAGCATCGGAAGGAAGTGGGCGCTGATAGTGTCAATTGTTCCGCAACTAATTGCCAACTCTTTCGTAATTCTCGCGCAAGGACCCATTCTTTTCTTCATTTCTCGAGTAATTGCTGGAAGTATTTTGGGCTCAACGCGAGTCGTTGTTCCCATATTCATTGCTGAGATGTCTGAAAAGAGGTAACACACAAGTTCTGAAAGTTTAATTACGTTTTTAATGCTTCACTTTTTATCTTTCTCGTGAAGTCTTAAGACGCCACTTAGTTCCAGTTTCGGTATTAGTTTCAGCGTTGGAATATTTCTAGGAAAGACTTTGACACATATTCTGGGATTTTACGCAGTTCCCATATTTTGTATCGTCACTACAATTATATTCATTGGACTTTGCGTTCTTCTTCCGGACACTCCGGAGTATTTGACCTTTAGAAATCGACCGGAAGACGCTGAGAAATCCTTGAGATTCTACAGAGGAATCTCTGCCAACGATCCTCTTCCGGAATCCTGCGCTCTTGAGCTCGAGGAGATAAAACATTACATTCTGTTTAGGGGTCAGGAAACTTCAATAGGATTAAGAGATTTCAGTAAGCATAAAGTACTTCTACTGCGAATACAATTAGTATAATTATTTTTTCTTTCATTGCAGAAGAAGGATCAACTTGGCTGGCTATTCTTATTTGTTTCATTTTGGTAATGAATATGAATCTATCCGGTCTTCGTATTGTGATTTCCTTCACTGAGACTTTACTGGCATTTTCGGCGATTCCTGTGGATTTATCGTCACTTGACATGACTTTGTCATTCTTGCTGATCATGCTATCCATTATTACAATCTTCGCAGTGGAAAAGATCGGAGTTCGAGCATGTCTGATGATTTTATCTGTCCTCAGTGTTCTGGGATACATCGGAACAGCAGTTCATTATTTGCTTAAAGAAAAAGGATTCGACTTGCAGCCGTTCGCCTGGTCTTTCCTGACGTTCTTTGGACTTGCTGTTGTTACTCCAACAACTATTAATAACTGTCTCAACATGACTTGTTCATCACAAATTCTTCCTGTGAAGATTCGCGGGAGTGTTTTGGGATTGCACAACATGTTGAGCGTCATTGTTGCTTTCTACACTATTCGATATTATCTTAAATTCGTGGATCTATACGGAAACTCAACTATAATGAGTATTTTTAGCCTGTGGTGTCTTTTTCTCTTGATCTTCGCGTACTTTTTCTTACCTGAGGTTAATAAGAAATCTTTCAGTGAGATTGTGTTTGATTTGGAAAGAAGAATTCCTCAGATATTTAAGAAATGTTAATAAATTCCATGTCTATATTAATTTTTAATTATTGAAAATAAAATGTATACTAAAAGTGAAAAAGAATAGGACAAAATCTTATGAAATGATATAATCTCACAGTTGAATTTGGAGGTGAGAATTCGAGATCTATTTGCAAATGTACATCAAGTCCATGGAATGTTTGTGCCTTGCTTCAACCACCTGCTTCAGCGCAAAATGCTTAATTGCTAAGGAAGAGAGTGTCGAAAAAAGACCGAAGCTCAAATAATGAGGAATTTTGAGGGTCATTGGCATACCTCGAGTGTAATATAAATAAGTTATTGATTTCAGAATCGAAAATAGGCAATAAAATTTGCCAGTGAGACAGCCGTTAAGAGACAAGAGGTGGAACTGGAGAGTCGTTGGTGGCTTTGAATGGGAGAAAAGCTGTAAATCAGTTGAAATGATGTGTAAAATTCATAATGTACTCCCCTGCGCAAGTGGGTTTCTCACCTCAATGCAATTCAAGTCTTTCGTAATGTCTCTCCTCAAACGAAAAACGTTTCATCTCACGAGCACAGCGGAGTCTCAACAGTCAAGTGGTCTCTTTGGTGTTTGTGTGTGTTTGGAATGCAATTAAAGGTCCAATCCCTCGTTTTTTTCCTTCCTCAGGTGCAACTCCGATTTTGTGCCCGTGGAGTTTCTTCGAGAGTGTGGTTGAACCACCTGAGACGCACCTTTTTTCCCCGGCCCAACACATCCACATTAATGTACCTGAAATACCTCAAGTCTCTCTCTCTCGCTGCGACTCATTTGGGGGAATTTTCAGCTCGACTGTGGGCAGCAAATCTCAAAGAGAGAAAATTCCCATTCTCCAGAGTTTCTCCATGTGAATTCATTACAAATTCTGCCGTCTATTTGGGATTTTGACTCTCATCTCCACATTCCACGCGCAGAGACATTTCCATCTCACTTGGTGTCTCTCTCATCTTCACAACTCATCAATCAGTGGAGGTATTTTTGTATATATGCCCGATAGAAGAAGAGGCACAGAAACGCACCTCCAGTGATTCTCACATTGTCTACCGCGTCGTGTCATCAATGGCCAAATGCAGAGGTGTTTTCCAAATATCACGATCGGGGAAAGTGCAAATATAACATGTGAAAATCACACCTTGAACATCTGTAATTGCTCAAGAAAACAAGCACTGCAGCATTAATGCAAAAGCATGAAAATTACGACGAATTTTCTGCCTGTATTCTTCTATTACCGTGGAAAGTATAGAACTTTGTTAAATATGACCTTGATGAATTCCTGGTAATTCAGATCAAGAGGTAGATAATATGGCTAAAATCTGTACGCCACTTCCTGACACTTCCACTATGTCTTTGAAAAATCCTCAATCAGATTAGAATCAACTAATAAACTAAAATCTAACCGAAATTTAACTGAAATCTAACTGATACTTTTATAAATTTGATTTTCAGACTTTACTAGATTTTTTTATGAGTGTCTGGTTTTAATTGATCTTTTCAACATCAATATTTAATTGGAATCTATCTGGCTCGAAATTTGACGTTGTGAAGTGAAAAATTGAGGTTATGTTGGGTGATATACGATCTTAAATCAGTCACATAATCTAGAAAAAAATGTAAAGATTGTGACTTGGTTTTAAATTAATTTCTGAGAGTAAAATAATCAATAGAAAATCAAAATTATGAGCCAAATATTGGATATATTGAAGCACTTACTGAAACATCCACTGATCTGTACAGCACTTCTGACCATAATAAATATATGAGATCCTGGGAAATTCAGCGTTAGAGAGACCAGGAAAACATTCCTGCATAATGATTAAACTGACTTCAAAGAGCGTGACCAGATGGAAAGGTCAAGAATGCGGTGTCGACAATGAGATGGAGAGTAGACAAAACTATCATCACTTGTGCCAGTTTTCGGAGAGAAACGCGTGTGTGTTTGAAAGAGACTCGTGATGAGAAGATGTGCCCAATGTGGATGGGAAAAAACATGGTCAGAGATTCTCTTCAGACGCCTAACACTGTCGCCCCATCATTTATTCATCAGCCAGAATGATTTTCAGCTCAAGATGACGAAACTCGCGCGGCTTTTTACGGTCACAGGAAGTGGAGATTCTAATGAGATTTTTTTTCCAGCAAAGGAAATTAAGGATCACTTCTGGGTTGTATTTCGGTGGGACAATTCAGCGTGAGACTCTCTAAAGGCCTGGCGAGGTGAATTGTGTTGGCTGACTCTTTGGCACAGATCTTGCGCCATACACACTCTCGCGCGAGCCTCTCTCTCTCTCTCGGAATCTCTCACATTGGGCGAACTCACCTGGGAGTGGAGTTGCTGGTGTGTTGGTTCCACTGCGGTGAGGTTGAAGTGCTGAGAAATTCAAACACGTAGTCAACTTCTGGTACTCGATCGAGCTGCTACACTGCTGGATGTTCACTGTGAAAACGCGCAAAAGGAGGTCCACACGGAGTTGTTTTCTGGCCCACCTGGAAAAACTTGGTGAACATCGGCGCGGAAGGCGATTTGTGGGACGCGAGATCGCGAGGATCGTGCGTGGAAAGTGATTTGAAAAGTGAGTGGGGAAAAGGTGTGCGCGCGCTCTTTTCGCCCCATTCTCAGGTGCCTTTTCACTATTGGCATTCCACAATGTGACACAAACAAGTGATCATAAACGAGTTCTCATGTTGAATTTCGTTCTGCGCGCGAGGAATTGTATGAAAAGTCCATGGGTTTCTCACAAAAAAAAAAGGGAAGAAAGAATTCCAAACGACCAAGAGTGTCTGATCTCGATAAGAACTCTGACACAGAAATGATCTCCACCCAACCTGATCTCTCACGATGAGTTGTGCGCAATGAAGATGTGCAGCGAGACGATGGCGAAATTGCCCATCGCGCATTCCCTGCAATTTGCATTCCCGCCATGAGAAGTCCACTTAGAGAATTGCCTCGATTCTCTCATAAATATCGCCTTACTTTCTCTCTGATGCGTGATTGCATTCAGCATAGATTTTGTTTTCATCTTTTCACCTGCAAATCACAAGGAGATGAAACACCACGACGAATTGATCGAGACAATTGGGAGATGAAATTGAATTAATAATTGTCTGGAAATCACGCGAGAGAGCCACTATTTTTTCCACACATACCCAATTTTTACCTCTTTTCACTTGAATTCGACGGCTCATTTTTTTTCGAAAGCTCCAACCAGTCAATTAAGATGAATTGGCGATTCTAGGGCAATCTGGATGTATCTGTTTATAAATCGACATGGAATTTTATGGCTAGAGCGATGGTTATCTGCGTTGTATTACCAAGTCAAATGGCCTCGCAACGGAAAAGCGATTTGAATTTGAATACATATGCAGGGGCTGAAAATCAATCTAAACTCGTTTGCTCGGTGATTTTGGCCGAAATTCACATGATTGGGGGGATTTTGAGGCGCTGTGATGAGTTGATTTTCACACCTGAAGTCTTCATGTGAGAGTTAACGTGCCATCTTTGCCTTTTCAGGTATCTCACAGTCGATTGTTCGTCGAAATTGGAGTTCCCTGCAGACGTCGACCCTCCAGATGGGAAGGAATGTGCATGTGATGGGAAAAGTTTCACATTGAGACACTCATTCGCATCTCCCGAAATCTCGTGTGTGACTTGAGAGAAAACGGTTTCAGTGCTTTGAGTTTCATCACTTTTTAAGAATTAATCAAATTGTGTTGTGCGACAGTGGGTGGTCAGGATGGATTCCAGTGGATCTTCAACGTGCTACGGAGGCGGAGATCTGGCCAGTGCCATAATACTGACCATCATCTTTGGCGTTGTGCTGATGCTTCTTCTGCGATGGCTGTACAAGAAGTACTGGCTCAATCGACGAGGTAAGACAATCTCATTAGGCATTTCAGCGTGCAACTTCCGCCTCTTGCCATATTCTTCTAAACGGAAAAATGCGCCACGAATCCTCCGCCGATAGGCTTTAAGATGAGAATTTGCCGTTGCTCGCCACTTCTTGCATACTAAGCATTCCAACAGGCATTGTAATCTATAAGGTGTGCGCGCGCGCGGGTAAATATCCACATAAGCTTGACCCCGCGAGCGTCTTCACCCACCCACCGCGACCCATTCATTTTGTAAACATCACCGCAAACATCACGGCGTGTACATAAAAGTGCGCGTCTAACAATGCCACTTAATTACACAGAAAATTGTAGCATTAACACACGATAAAAGTGAATTCAAGCGAGAACTCAAAACTGTATTAATTACCCTTCTTTGCACACATAAGCACACATTCGCTCTAGAGAAATATGAGTTGTTGTGCGCGCACAGTGAGGAAAATTTCCTCCATTGTGTACAACATTCAGGAAAATCACAATTTTCACCGTGCGATAAGATATTATATTGCGCTATTTGCTTTTTTAATTTAGGTCTGTTTGGCGAACGCAATACCTCTCGTTGATTCTACCTCCAGAGAGAGAGAGAGAGAGAGAGAGAGAGAGAGAGGTGCTCAATATGGGAAAGTGTCACAAGAAATTTAGTAGGAAACTTGCCAGAAAGACACAGAAAAAATTTGACAAACTCGCGATGTTCACTTCCGCGATTTCTACTAAAGCAAACATTAATATTTCCTCGAAACACCATCGATTTTGGATGCGTTGTGGCAATTTATACAGAAATTTGAGAAGCGATAGGGACAGTTTTGTGTGACCTTAGAAACCGTTAGAGTTGATAGAAAGTTTAAAAAACTTTTAATAGCAAATCACGATTCTCGCGAGCGTCGAAGAAGATTTTGTGTTAGAAGGAATTGTTAAGACACTTGCAAACTTCCACAATTAATTCTGAGCATTACGATCTATTTAAGGTATGATTAAAATTGAGCTTATTCACTGGTTATCAATACAATATAGTTTTAACTTCAGCTGAAGAATGTACGTTCGGCTCAGGTGTGTGCAAATATTTTTCAACAATTTAGCGCGTTTTTGCCATCTTAAACTCCTTCCTCTAAGCACTCTTTTTCTTTGTATGTCAGTGTATTGGGAAGAACAAAAAGAAACATTCTTTATCACCGCGGCTTTACAGTTTGTATGCAAATAATACGATTTTATGCCGCTATCATCAGTGGATCACCTTGAAGAAATTCGCCTTGCCATCGAAATTTTTGTTATGGTCAATCCGACACGAGCTCAAGTTCACAGCTTGAGCTTTGGCCCAACAATGCCTCGTCTCGATCGTAAATTTTCGACAGGGATGGAAAGAATGGTGGCTCTTAATTGGAACGCTCTTGTGGGGATGCCACGGTGAAATTGATGATGTGAAAGAGCACCTTTGTTCGCCCCCTGAAGTCACTTGTGCCGCGCACATTCCGCAGAAGAAGGCTATCAGACTCTCTGGACATTCCTCTCAGCTCATGATGATTAGTTCAGGGAGTCACACTCCTATTCACTGTGCGCTTCTCTGGGCGATGTGCAGGCTGATACCACACAAAACCACGTCGGACACGATGGAGTGGAGTGGAAAAAAGCTCGACTTGCTGAATGAATTCATGTCAGCGATTTCTTTCAAGGTCAATTGCCTCACCATCTCTTTTTCACTCACTTTTTCTCACATGCTAATGACAATTTTCCAATTTATACACCTCTTTTTGTGCTTTCATCACGCTTAGCATTGAGCAAATTCATTGCCAACGGCAGGAAGAGACTCCACAACTCACAAACTCAGTTGTGTATCTGATAAGAGATGTCAGTGCAATTAGGATCAATTAGATAAAGAAGAAAATATTGTTTACAACGTGAAAATTGTATACAATGTGAAGCTAGATCATCATAGATTGTATCATAAGTGAAACACTATTGAGGATCATTAAAATAAGAGTCATGAAATCTATTTGATTCAAGACTTTCAAGGTTAAATCATAGTCCAGATTTATACTACTGTCTGCTATCAGAAGAGATATTTTTTCTTCAATTGATCTGTCTTTAGAAGTGAAGATGTGTGCGTGTCTTTTCGTAGTGAGATTTCAAGTTTTAAGCTCTGTCTGCAAAATCCCAAGCTATAAGTTCCTTTTGGTTTTGTTCTGTAGCTCAAATTCATCGATTCTAGGCCCTTCTTGCGTCACTCGAAACTGTGTCACAAGACGCAGATTAGGTCGTTTTAATACCAGAAATACCATCAAGATTCCCTTATTTGCTCTCAACTCGCTCTCATCTCGGGAACACACCTTTAGTGACGCTTTTCACTCACATCATATTGATTCTTTTTTGTTCCTCATTCCTCTCCCATTAGCTTTTTTTCTGTTCCTATTTTCTCAATTCCATCTCTGTGACTCTCGCGATGCAGACGCAGAGGAGGTGGAGATAGGAGTTGGAAAAACACACAAAAAACTCCACCACTGACATCGAAAGATTATGTTTCAGCCAACAAATAACTTCCATTTTCTCCGTGCGCGAATGTTGGACAAATATTGAAAAATAAGGTGTCAACAAGGTGGAAGAATTTCACAGAAATAATTATATTTTCCACCATTGAGATTCAAAAAAAAAAAAATTGTGAATGACTGTGGCTTTTTCAGTTGGCACAGGTTGGAAAAATGTCATTTTTTCGCAATGCTAAAGGTACACCTAAAAAAGATCACCTGGATGTGAAAATGGGATGATCGAGTTTTTACAATTCATCTAATGCTGGCGAGGAGATCATTTTCTTCCTATTTTGGAAACCAGCACAGTAAAAAAGAAATAACATCGACACGCAAGAGAGAGAGAGAGAAAAATGAAGAGAGGTGAAGAAAAAGTCTCTCGAGACGATTTAAATGAAAATAATTTGAAACGAGTTCTCGATCATTTTTATGAGAGAGTCTTCAGGCCACGGGATGCCTGTATGTGCACCTTAATGGCCATACGCTGATGGTATATAGTCGGTGAAATAAGACACGAATACATGAGATATTCAGCATCATTGAGTGGAGGCACATCGCCAAAGTAAGATGATCGGACTCCAGCAAAACCAGCAACATGCCATCAGAAATTGTGCCATACAAATAGTGGACTTTTTCACTCAGCAGGTTGTATCGCTGCTTGTCAAAGTGTTGGGGTCATGAATTTTGCGTGATCGGCACACATTTCTTCCGTGGGGAACTTTGGGGGTGATCCTCATGACTAATCATTGTGAAATCTCCGCCATATGGCAACAGGTGATCAATAAAAAATGTTTTACGGTGCAATTTTTAGGTGAGAAATCGCATTTTTAACACCCAGAGAGTCGGAGTGATAAATTTTCAAATGAAATTTCTCCTTGTCAGCAGCTCTACAATCAAACTTAAAAACTGTGCTGAGCGAGAAGCTCACTATAAAGCCACTAATTATTAAATGAAGCAATTAAGAATTTACAATCGCCAGCGATTGCGGGTGATCAACATCGTGCCCAAGGTTGAGAACCGCAGTGTTCGAATGTGTGCGCGATTTTGAATTACTGCGCCCAATAATTCAAGTCACAGCGCTGGAATTTCTGCATTTGTCCAAAATCCACCAATGGATCGCGATGTGAAATTGCATTTGATTGCATCAAATTGATCGTGCGATAATCGAAGTGGAATGCAAAGATCTGCACGGCCAGTGTGACACTTGCTGTGAGTCTTTCACATGCCATCATCAGTCCCAGACTCCGTCGAGCAAGTCAAATTGGAGCCCGCGGGCGATCTGCAACGGGAAATCACTGGGCGGCCACTGAGGATCAGTGTCACAAAAGAGGGGCAAGATCAGTCGCTATACGAAAAATCATGCCTTTTCCCACTGGAAGTGCGCGCGCGCGCGCGCGATCTTGTGATGGTTCTGAGACGATCGTGGCATTTGATCAAACGAAAAATCGATCACACGATTTTTCAATGACACAATTACAAAAGCGAGAAATTTCACTTTAAACAAATATCAGCAAATATATTTGTCTTGTCTGTTTCTTAAGCACCCAAAATGAAAAAGAAGAAAAAAAACCGTTAGATTTCTTTCTTTCTCAAAGAGACAGACAGCAAAAAACTAGATTGAATATTAAATAGTACTTTTACTGATCGCATCTCTTTGATATTCCTGATAATTTGTCAATAAATCGCACACCTCTCTATTCAAAAAGCAAAATTGTGACAAACTCATTTTAATAGTTTCTTAAATACTTCTCCGCAACACTTCAAGATCTCAGGCAAAGTGTGCGGTGTTTCTCACGGCGAAGAAAGTGGCGATCTTTCAGGCCACGACGCACATGGGCTATAAATTATATTTTTAATTAAATTACCTCCCGCAATGTTTCACTAAACATTTTTAATTTGTTGCAATTTGTTGTAACATTGCGATAGACTTGGAATTTAAATCATTATACAAAACCTTCAATTAGGTAATTAAAGTCTGCACAATGTACTTTATGTTGTTTTAAGAGCGTGTAACTTTCTCTGATTGGCTGGCAGGAAGAACATTTTCATCATTACAGTCTCTCTAGCTTGTAATCTACATGTGCACCATTGTTAAGTTGTGTACGAAGCACTTCTCTAATTCTTCCAATTTCTGCCGCAGGCACTCATCTGGTGCAGGAGGACGTGGAGACTGGGAAGTCAGCTGAGTACGCCTTTGACAATCCGGCTTTCAAGAGCGAACAGAAGGGCGGCACGAGCGGAGGCGCTCTGGACACCAAGTGGACGTCCAAGGAGAACGGAAAAGCCGTGGACGACAGCCCAGCAACCCCGATCCCGACGAGGAACGTCTCACTGCGAGGATCAGACTTCACGGGGTTGGGAATTGAGTTGACCGGAAGCCTGAAGGAGGGCATCTTTGTGAGGAAGATCGCATCTCAAGGACCAGCGGCCGGAATCGTGAACATCGGTGAGTAAAAGAGCAGCTCAAGTTAAGTTCTTGCATCTTAATTTCAACGATTCTTCTCAGGTGATCGCATCACCAGCATCACTATTGATTTCCGACACATTGTCCTGGAGGACGCAGCCGCAATCCTCAGCTATGCATCGCCATACAACGTGCGACTGGACTTGGCGGAAGGGAAGCCGGCCGCGGTCACGCCTAGTCCCAAGCCCGGACACGCATCCATGACGCAACCAATGGGCGGAACAACCAGTCAATCGGCTTCCAGCACGGTACATTTTCACCCTTTTCACACACAATTCTTTAGCATCTAAAGAGCCATTATTGTTACAGCCCGATCAGAGCGCAAAGAAGACTCTCTTCCCCGAAGAAGTGGACTCCAAGTCTTCTCCTGTGCAGATTGTGCAGCGAGAGAATGAGAAGAAGTCCCCCTTCACGCAGCAAGTCAAGGGATTAATTGAGGAGAAGCTGCAAACCAGAAATGAACCGGCAAAGCCACGTGACGAACCGGACAAAGAGGCGCCAGCTTCACCAGGAGATAAGAGCAAAGGTCTCAAGTTCGGCATTCGTGTTCTTCCGCCCAATGTCAATGAGAAGATCTTCGGCAAGAGTCCGACAAAAGTGCAGGCGGACAATGAGAATAATGCCAATCTGGAGAAGAATGACACGGATAACGTGAAGAACCAGGAAATGCCGCCCGTGGCGCAGAAGCGAAAGGAGAAGAAGGCACAGGAGACGCCAGAGGAGACCTTCCAGCGAAGCGATCCCGTGAACTCCAGCGGTATCAAGAGAGACGCCGCGGGGATTCCGCAAGAAGTGCCTGATCACATGATGCAGGCCGCGATGTCGGCCAAGGAGAACCGGAAGAGTGTGGTGCAGGACAGTGGGAAGAAGGGCAAGGGCAAAGCTCCATCTCCGCCTCCAAATGAGACGGAGTCTGAGAAGGATGCTCTCAACTTCACGGACAATTTCGTGAAGGAGAATCGACCAAGTGCCAATTCAACACCCAAGAGTGAGAGGAAGAAGAGTCCCAGCGACACGGAGAGTCAGATAGCCGATCGGGCCGGGGACTCAGATGGCGAGGAGGAGTCCTCGTCGCACATAGAGTTGTCTGCGAATCATATCACAGTGCACCAGATGAGCGACGAAGAGGAGGGCAGAAGGACGGCGAGCTTGGGGGATTTGTCGAAGATCGAGACGACCAAGAGTCCGACGAGTGGCAGATCCAATACAGCCACTCTCGAGCGCGCACAGAGTCTGGAGATTACAGAGCAGCCCGGCGCGGTGGTGACGCCGAAGAAGAGAAAGGCGCCGGCTGTGGATGTGGACATTTTCATTGAGAAGGAGCCCAGGCTGAGCCTGGACATGGGCGGTGGAATGGAGGCGCTCAGAGGGCGACTCAAGAGTGCCAATGAGTGGGGAAATCTCGAAGATGCCATTTACTCCATCAAGGATCACGCAGATGAGGAGCACAGCTCAGACACTGAGTCTCTCAATCGCAGTGATGAGGAACAGAAAGTCGACGCCACGTCCAACAGTCTGATGAAGGAGATCATGGCAGTGGCGGATAAGTTTGACGCTGAAGCCAGGAAGGCAGTGGAGAGTGAGCTGCCCAAGAAGACCATGGATCAGTTGCTGAAGGAGAAGCTGGAGGAGGCTCAGGCCGCTCTGAATGACGACACAGATTTGGTGCCTGTGGTGAAGCCCGCCATTCCCAAGCGAAGCAGTCTGGATACAACTGTGAGGAATGGGAATGTTAAGGACACTGCCAAGGAGGACAATGTCACGTACACGCCCATCAATGTCGCGGACTCCTTCGGAACGAACGTGCCTGACGACGTAAAGGTGTCTCGGTATCCCTTTGGGAGTCTCGAGCGCCCCAAATCGGACGTGCTGAAGAAATTGATGGCGCAGAAGATCCAATTGGAGGAGCGAGATACGCCAGTCAATCGCACAACAATGACAATTCTGCCGGACGAGCAGCTGATCGACGAGCCGCAGCCCATCAGTCTCACTCTGATTGGCGGTGGAATTGAGTCCGACAAGACGGAGAGCAGCCAGATATCGCCGGTGTACTCGAGTGACAACATGGGCGTGAACAGCATCAGCATCTCCTCCATGGAGATCCCCGTTCAAGTCGAGACGACATCCCTGAGCCGAATAGTGCCCGACGCGGACAACGTCGTGACCATCACGACCGACGTGAGTCAGCCTTCGTCCATCATCATGATCGACGACGAGTGTCTAGACTTCACGCTGCAAACGCCACCGCCCGAGAGGACGCCATCCCCAGTGCCACAGGAAGAGCCCGAGACCTTCGTCACGGAGATTCGCGTGCAGACGCCCGACAAGAATCACACGCAAATCAAGCTCACGGACGAGCAGGACAACTTCCCGCGCAACAGTGAGATCAAGTTCACGACCTCGACGTACGAGTCGCCTGGCAAGGTGGCGGAGAAGCGCCTGAGCCAGATCGAGCAGCTGCGGTCCAACTTCGAGAAGTCGCAGCAGCAGTCGGAGATTCCCGTGCCAGTACGCAAGAGCTCCATTCCCACGCTGAAGCTCAGCCCCTCCAAGATACCCGTGTTCAACTCCAAGGGCCAGGACCAGGCGCCGCAGCAGCGCCCCGCCAACAAAGTGTCCGTGAGCGTGACGTCCATCAAGAACTCCGCCAGACACCCCAGCGGAAAGTAGGTCCTGCCGAATTGCTCTGTTTAACTCACTTTCTGCGCATGTACATATAAATAAAGACGATCATGGTAAAATATTATTTGAAAGAGAAGCGCGCGTTTTTTAAATTTACTCTCGGAAAAGCTCCGCGGAGCTTCGAAAGCTCGCCCCATTCACTACAAAACCGGCTTCGCGAGCTTGACCAGCAGTTGCGATTCCGCTGCGCGATCAGTGTTCAACTGGAGCTCGTGGAATTGAGTGTCGTGACTCGAGATAGAGACAATAGATACGGAGTGAGATCACTTGAGGGGCCAAGAAAAATGCCTCTGTCGGACGTACTGTCTGTTTTCCTCATCGCTACCATTGCTTCCTGCATCAGTTTGGGTTCTGCCTATCGAATACCACCACCCACGATCGTGGTGCATCAGCCATCAGGACTGAAAGTGTCCATTCCAGGTGAGGCGAATCGCGGGGATTTTGAGTGATTCCCAGAAACCCGTTTTTTTATCTTCGATTCCGCTAAATGTGATCGTTTTGCGCGATCTCACGAGACGATGTGTTAGTGCAGCCCAAGGAAAAACAGAGCGCAAGAGTGTATAGTTATCATGTGTTGAGACAGAGGTCAAGACATGTGAATCTCTCAAGCGCGCGCTGCCTTTCGGTGAATGTAATGCTGGAAAAATGCGCGATCTTCCCCAATTCTGGCGATCATTGATCTCCATGCAGTTTCTCACGCGATTTCATGATCTTAATATTTCGGCAGATGAGAATGGGATTATTCTCTTCGCCTTTCACGGCAAAGTGAATGAGCGCTTGGAGCAGAATGAGGTGGGAACGCTGTATGATGACATCCAGAAGGCGCAGGACGGGCGCTGGACCTATCAGAATAACTCTGTGGCCCTCAAGAAGGGCGACAAGCTGCATTACTGGTTGTACGTGCAGAACGAGAAGCTGGCCTATCGCCTCGAGGACCAAGTCTTCGAGGTGATGGAATTCAACACGCCAACCGTGATTCAGATTCCCGAACCCGTGATCATTCACGAGAGGCCGCAGTGTGAATTCTCCAGAACATACGTGAATGGTGATCACGTGTGCAAGAGTACTCTGGTGTTTGAGGAGAATTTTGACACGCTCAACGGCAGTATTTGGACACGCGAAGTCAAATTCCCCAAAGACACTGAAGACGCTGAGTTCTGTTCGTACCAAGATCGCCCTGAGAATTCCTACATTCGCGATGGGAAGCTCTTCATCGTGCCGTCGTTGCAAGAAGAGGTGCCAGGATTCAACGAATCCTTCATTCGCAGAGGAAAGTTGGACTTTGGAAAGAGGTAATACTGACCATGATTAATGAAAAAAAAAGATTACTAATCACATTCTCTCTTCAAGATGCACTCCTTCCACGATCCTCAACAACCCAATTGAGTGCGAAAGACAAGCGGGAGTGACTCAAGTCGTCTCTCCAGTTGTCTCTGCTCAGCTCACCACGAAGAACTCCTTCAAGTTTAAGTACGGAAAGGTGGTTATACGCGCTAAACTACCCACCGGCGACTGGCTCTTTCCTGAGATGTTCCTCAAGAGCTCTCAGAACGTCTTCGGGGACGATAATCTCGTGAACGGACTCATGCGGGTGGCGTTTATTCACAGCAACAAGCAGTTGCAGACAGAGCAGGGCGCGGAGACGGACGGTCTGTACCTCAGAGGACAACTGGTGCTGGACCGCAGCGAGGCGAATCGAGAGAAGTGGATGAAGGTGGAGATTGGCCAGCAACACTGGGGCGCTGACTTTCACGAGTACAGCCTCACGTGGACGGACGAGATGATCTCAATGGCGGTGGACGGGAAGCCGTACGCGCACTTCCGCGACAAGTTCTGTGATAAGGATCATCCCTGCAATATCGAGCACGCCAGTCTCTGGGAGTCGGGCTCGAAGCTGGCGCCCTTCGACCAGGAAGTTTACCTGGTGCTGGGCGTGGGCGTGGGTGGTCTCAGTGACTTCCCGGAGAACTGCCGCACTGGCCCCGATCGCCATCCGAAGCCCTGGCGCAACACCGATCCCAGGGCGGAGAAGAACTTCTACAACGACAAGAAGAGCTGGTATCCCACGTGGCAGGGCGAGGAGGCGGGTCTCCAGGTGGACTGGGTGAAGATTTACTCCCTGTGAATGTGCCATGCCTTATCTCTAGCGACTGTAAGTTGTCGTGCGACAATAAAAATGATTAACAAATGTACATCACGCTTATTTGAAAAGTTTCCGCTCACCGTCGAGCATAAGCTTTATGGGCAAATGTTTGAAGGGGTTTTCTATTCAAGAATGCAGTGTATCTTGACTTGTTTCTGCTTGTTTTAAGTGAAATGAATGAATGAATATTAAACTGCCTAAATATTAAAATCGTCAATCCATTATAATCATTTGAAGTTTTAATCCAAATACTTGACACAATTTTCTACACTTTACACAGACACAGTGACTTTCCCTAAAGATCAGGTGAGGGTTAAGCCACTGTTCTTTACTCATTCGCTTTCAGCGCCCCCTTGCGCGCGATAGCGCTCTCCAGTGATGCTTGGCTGCTGTTTATGTGCCACTTCCGCCCATTTCTCATCTCTTTTCCCACATGCTTCACGACATCGCGGCCCATATTGCGGATGATGACGGTCCAGAACAGTTGCACAAGAGCCGCTGAGAAAGTGATGACCCTCGCGTGTCTTCCTTATTTCCCACCCAATTTCTCGACTCATCGCGCGCGCCCTGGTAAATTGGGCACTTTTTGGCGCACCGCGAAGGAGAAAACACAGCGCCCGAGGGTCTGGCGTGAGCTCAAAATATGCACAAAATCAATTGAACAAGAGGGAGTTAACGAAAAACGACGTGTTGTGCAAGAAGCATGAAGATGGGATTAGTGGCAAGACATGCTGAAGAGGTCCACAATAGACTTTTGTAGCGGCGAAGGCAAAGCTCATTAGGAGCGAAGTTTGCATTTGGCGGATTTTCCAAGAGCCATGCTCGAGTCTCTGGCATTCCTGGCCATCACCTCCAGTGGCAGCCCAACACTTTTGCTTCCGCACCTCGGCGCGGGCAAATGCAATTTGCTGGCACAGCTGCAGAATGAGTGTGCACGCAATCCCAAGAGACTGGTTATTACATTCGCCGAGGATTGATTGCTCAAGACAATCTGCGTTGCGTTGGAGCCAAATCTCTGCTCTCATTTGCCTTTCTTCGCCAGGCCCGCGGTATTTCTGCCCCACGGGAGGATTCCTGACCTCGCGCGCTGGGCGTCCAAATGGGATTTTCCCGCATCCACTGACTTTGGCCACATCACCATCTTTGCTCACTGCTGCAGAGGCAAAATTTTGCATTTTCACGCAAATTGCCAGCTGTTGAAGCAATTTTCCACCATCACAACTTCCCCATGTGGAAAACTCTCCTTGACAGTTGGTCATAACGTCACGAGTTTGCCGATGCAGCAAATGGAATGCAGCTGAACGCCTCTGGGATTGGTTTTCGGATGGAATTCTGCGGCCACATAACGGTGGCCCACGTGCACTTTGCATTATGCTGGAAAGTATAGGAAGCAACGCAGCTCGGGATGTCGCGAGACGACCCCCTGTGTGCCCAGGAGGAAGTGACCAGAAGCGGAGACTTGCCCGTTATTCCGAGCGCGATTTAATAGCAATAAATTTATTGTGGCCGCTCAGCAGCGCCAACATCGGCGTAAACAATGAGTCGTGCGCGGCAAAGGAGGTTCAAAAATTTGTCTTCAACTCCATGTGTTTGCTTTGCACCGTGGAGAACATTGAGCATTTGATGCTGCACTTGAAGGCAATTTGGCGCGAGAACTCGTGCAGCATTTCTTCTCCACCTCTCTATATACTCTTTCCATTTGGTTGCTTTTTTATTGTGCGAAATTAGCCGTTATTGTGTTGAATATTTGCAAGACAAAAAGAACAAAATCCAAAAATACACGATAAAAGTAATATCTGTGTTGAAAGTCAAAAGAATGACATTGTCTTAAGACATTGTGACGAATTGTCTGAGATGACGCGATGTTCTTGGCCTCTAAAAAGGATTTTAGTGTTCTTATAAATTGATATCTCTCAATTAGAACATGATAATTTTCACCCAATTTGAAGAATCCCGTTCTAAATGTCTTGTGAGAACATGTTCTTCAGCGTGTTATTATTCAATTAACGGAAGCTTACAAAATTTTTCCCATCACGCCAATGATTACACATCTTCTGATGGGGAGAAGTGTGGGCGCGTGAGTCACTCAAGGTACAATCTTCCAGAATTCCATTGAAATTATCCGATATAGAATTGGTTTTATGGCCGAGGCAAAAAAGCCACCATAAAATCATCAAGACTCGCTTGTTCCATCAATGGCTGACAGTGAAATGCTGCACCATAAATTATCGAGTGTGGCTCACAAATATTTCGTGGAGCAGCAAATACTTCCTCATCGTCAATTGACCATTAGAACACTTCTGGAGATAGACTCCAATGCAAAACACCGCGCGCGCGCGCGCCCTTTCCAGACGCTCTCCGTGCCATTCTGCCGCTCACCTCGATCCTCCTGACCACACATTCCACTCCGTGAGGCGACTCTATTGGATTGAATAATTGCGTTCTCGAACGTGTGCGCCTCTTCTGCCCGTTCTCGCGGCCTCGGCACAACGGCATCGCCGGCGAAAAGGCGGCAGAAGGAAGAGACGGGAGATGAGTTGTGTATACGCCAAAAGAAGCAACACCGAGAGGCATCTTGTACGTACATGATAATTGTACAAGAGTCAACGACACCGGTGAAAAGTGCTCATTGCCAGGCTGAAGAAGGGAATTCTGCGCCGTGCCATGAACTTGGCTAGCCGAGCGCCGCGAGCCAAAAACACGCTCGTCGATCGATTGGTTCTACTTTGTTGAAAAATCGCGTAATTGTCCGCGATCTCGCGTTCTGGCCAAGGCGCATATTCATCATCAAGTACATCACGCGTGGCACACGAACATCTCCGCAGCATCGATTGGAATCGCGACCTTTTGTCTGTCGCTCCGGCGGCCGCACAATAAATTAGTGCGCGGCGAGTGAGAGCACTTTCCCGCAATTCCGGAATCGAAAGTGAAAAAATTCACAAAGTGGAAAGATTCAATTGCTCAGATAAGTTCTGCATTTGGCTCAATTTGCAAACAATCGGCTCTCACTCGCTCAGCACTTGCGGTGGAATCCAAGTAATTGTCCACGCAGCGAAGACAGCGCTCGACTGCTTAAGACACACACACTCGCGCAAGTTCAATGATCCTAAAGCGGAGATGATGACTCCAGAAGGAAGGATTCAAGGTGATTTCAAGCGAATCCTGTGGCGTACTTTTCGTCATTTTCCCCAATGACGAGAGGCGGAAAATATGTTCTCTCACAATCACTTGTGAATGTCTCAGAGTTGTGATAATTGACTGACTCATGTTGATTGACGAAGAAAATCAGAAATCGCTGTCACGAGACTTCCACGGCAAGATTGAGCGGACCTCCGTGACAAAGGCGTATTTTGTCAGGCTCGATTCTTCGCTAAAAATCGATGGCGAAACAAGAAGAGCGACAAATTAATAGATCGCCTGTGTTGGCGATCGATTTCTGATCGACAGGTGTCGCTCTCATTGGGCATCTCAGCCATGGAATGGAAGGAATGCGCAATGAGCTCCCTTCAATCTTCATTCTGATACACAATGCGTGGTTTTTCCCATGGCGGCACCAACAGAAGAGACAGTCAAATTTATCGATGACACAGTCTTGACCTTTGCCTCTGAGGCATGCATAAATTGTCACCCCAAATTAGTGGACGAATTTGAATGATGAGGAAAAAAAATCAACCATTTATCAATGATGGGAATGTTGAACACAGAAACCAAGTGAGTGAATATACAGCAAAATGGGTAATAAATCAGCGAGAAAACTACTTTGGGTATCAAAACAGGCAATATCGGTGGCAAAAGAGACTGGCGGAGAAAAATTATGCTGAAAGCTTGCACAATCATTGAAATGAATGTGCTTTCATTGCACAATGATGCCTGAATTAACGTATAAAATATTTTTTACACATCTTCGTCAACACGTTTGACGAGTGACAGACAATGGACTTGGCGAGGAGATGCGATTAAATATTTATTGAGACCCATTCACTGCTGTCCGAATTCGCATTGTAGATCTCTATGACCACACATTTCTGCCGAGTGACTCTGTTTTCCTATCTTATCGCCAATTAGAGACTTCGAAAATCAATCATAAAGGCGCACAGCAATCAATATTCAGCTTGACATTGCTCGAATTCCTTTTCTTTCTTGGCTTTTATCGCACTTGAGCCATAAAAAGAAGGCCTAGAAGAGTGTTAAGAGCTTTTCAGTATGCTTGAATAGGATTCTATGCAATTCTCAAGTCTTATCAGCACTCACAATTGGCATCTATAAGATCGATAATGTTGTTTGCCAGAGTATAAACTTCCCTGTAAATTAATAAATCAAAGATCAACAAATTGAAATATAACCGCTCTTTTTTCTTGCACACCGCGATCTTGAAACTCCCAGCCCGATGAGTGTCAATGTTTTATGAGTCAACTAGGGTGAGAATGACAATGAGCAAAGTAAATATTTAAAAAATAAAGCAAATGACTAAATCCCATTAATGTCTCCCTGATAAGAATTTCACGCAAGCAATTTCTAAAATAAATTCCTTCACGGCGGTCCATCATCATGAGTTCACAGCGGGGTTAATCTCGATCCATTTGAACCTCATCAAGGAGAGTTGAGAAGAGTCGCGACCAGAGATTAATTGGGTGATTTGCGCCGCAAGAAAATCAGAGCAAGAATTTGAAAGGCGAAAGAAATGTTCTCAGAATCAGATTGAGATGCCTTTTGTTCTTCCAACGTGAGGCAATTTTCTCAAGCACAAAGTTGTATCTCTTCTCGACCGCACTCAACAATCTCTCGTAAACTTGATACACTTCCCAATCAGCATTTCCACGGAAGACATTCCAACGGATGTCTGGCTATGAATCTGCTGTCCAGTGCAATTTTGTGTACCTTTATTATTCCGTTTGCCTTTTTTTACAAACCGTCGCTCAGATTAAGCTCATATTTCTCTCAGAGAATCGAACACACTTCGTCTTTTTTCACAGGGGGAGGATAATATGCCTTAAATTTGTACACCACTTTCGAGATACTTTCGGCACATGAAATTTTCTGACTGTTTGCACACAAATTCTTTTTCTCTGTTTCTCTTAAAAAGAAGTAAAGAAGGTAAAAAATTCCATAAACTTTGTGCGATAAATGATAAATCTTACGAATTGCACAGGAAATGTCCACGACTTTTTTAAGGATCATCAACAATAACAATCGATTTTTGTCTTAAAACAATTAGCACAAGACGTTGTGAGTGTTTTATGCTGTCGTTCGGATAAGATTGAGTACTTTTTAGCTGCTGATACGCAATATCCGGATGTAGAAGCGAATATTTTCAGATTTTTAAGCTATATCGACTTCTTTAACTGACTTTCTTCGCTCCCAGCAACATTGTAGAGCCCAATATCGCCGCGTGTTTGCATATTAATCCATATTACAATGTTCTCAGAGCTCACAATGTGTTAGATTGTGCTTTTTTGTGCCCTTCGTGTGCACACATTTCTCCGCCAATGGGACAAACACTGGGCAAAGTGCTGCATTTGCATTTCCAGAGTCACACAGAGCTCGGCATGAAGATGTTTGCTTGGTGATGGGAAATCCAGAGCAATTTTAACCGTGTTACATTTTTCCCAACAAATCAGTTTGTGTTGTGACCGCATCGTGGCAATTAGCAACTCGTCATTGAATTCATTATCGAGCGCTCTTCTTGCGCGGATCTTTTGTGTGCTAATTCAATTTATAAATCCATCTGTGAACTCTTAGACATCTGCATTGAACTCTTATAACTTGGCGCACGCTTTTTTCCTCGATTAAGAGTTAATCTTTTTTTTTCTTCCCTTCCCAAATTGCATAAGTGGCGCGTTTTTGCACCTCACCACAAACAATATGGCGAGAGTTATTGCTCAAGATTTATCAGGGCGCGAGAGTGTGGCTGAAAAAAAAAGAGACAAATAAAATTATCTTATGGCCCACAAGTTGGGAGATTTTTGCCGCGCAGTGCAGTTTGCCGCTGAAAAAAAGTGACTTTTATTATTTCAAACATTCGCTGGAGTGACTTAAACCTTGTTGCAAAAGGCAAAAACACTGTTGGCGCGCGCGCGAGAGGAAAAAAATTTCTCCGCTTCGGCGTCCAAATACATTATTAAATATTATTACGAGGCGATTATTTTGTGTGAAATCACCTTCCTCTTCCCCACTGAGATCAATTGTGAGGTGAGTTGAGGTGAAATGGTGGTAGATTAAGATGAGGATTTGAGCGAGTGTTGAAGTGCTGAAATCATCCATCTTCAATCCGCGTCGCGTGCAACTCAAACTTCCATTCAGCGAAGATAATAGTTTTGTGATAGTTTAGCGATTACGGTACACAAAATTCAATCAAATGCGCCCGTGAAAGAATTAACTGTGTGCGTGTGTACTTTTTCCCTCGACGCATTGTTCCATCATCACGATGGATTTTCCTCCCGAAGAATTTTCCAGCCCAGCTGCGCGCGCTCTTGTTCATTTGCCAATGCATCGTCAATGCGCGCAAACAATTATTAAATTGTACATCTTTTTTTCTCTCTCTCTCTCTCTCTCTCACTCAATTGGCTTGCATTGTTGCACCGTCTGACCCAATTCCATTCCATTCTCATCGATATGATTATTGTGCTATTCATGCATATCTTATGCGCTGGCATAATGTGGGCAATTTTGCCATAAGATCTCATTTCTCTCCATCTCATAATCATGCAGATTTTCTCACTGGTCGGCCTCTTGACTCTCTTCCAGGACGCGCAACACATCTTCCGGGGCGAACAAGGAATCAATGGCCAGAGACATGAGAACGCGCCGCTACTTTACAATCACGTGGTCGTGAGCACTTCACATTTCCCAGTGAGATTCCATGTGATGTGACGTAGTGGTATGCTTCTGTGTCCAATCGCATTGATTTATCGCTGCAATTAGGCGCACTACATGCACAATCAATCACACCTGCGACACATTTCTGCAGATGCCTCGAATTGCCATCGTCGCAGGAGGCTTACATCCCGCTCGCCGGCGTGCCGAATTCACAGGAATTTCCACCATTTTCACACTCCTTCGCTTTCACCTGTTTCAGCGACTATCTCAAGCTAATTTTAAAAGAAATGCATTTAGCACGTTTGCCATCTAATGTTTAAGACACGAAAGTTTCCTCTTGAAGCTTATGAAATTGGATTAAAATATGAGCGAAGTGAAATTATGCAGTAATGGCCATTCAAATTGACGTTTTACGCCGACAAATTGTGATCTGTGAACAAATTGCTTTAAACATACTAAGTTTTCGAAGAGGGCGGGAAAATTCTGCTGCCTTAAAGCTTTATTAAACTCATATTAAGACATCAGAAATTTTTCAGAAGGCATATATTTCTCTTGATCCTTTCTCAGAAACCACAAGATAAGTAAGGCATTGTGTCTTGCCTTGAGCTCTTGATTGTCTTACAAAATCACAACAAAGTTGAACTTAAATATAAATCAATATTCATTTAATCGAATACCACTTTAGCTTCCTTAATGAAACACTGTAAATGCGAATAAAAGCAGAGAAAATCATATTATTTTTCTAAATTCCTTTCTTATACTTCAAGATAAATCCTTCAAGACACGTTCATCCTACACATTTTCAACATTATGTCTCATTTCTTCACATCTTAAACAACTCAGAATGACTTACGATATAAATTTTATAAACTGAAACAAATAATGGAGTTCATTTTGTGTACATTTTGAATAAATTTAGCTACTTTTTCTCACAAGCAAAACACCCGTGTGACGAGAATATGTAATCAATTAGATTTTCTCAAGGTTTCCACGAAATGTCGCTGATCAATCGCAAATTCCACGGAAAGATTTCTCTACATGTGCAGCGTGTGATGCAAAGACAGCGCGCGGTCGGTGATATTTTGAGTAAACAAGATGAGAGGAATCCAATGAATTTCCGCGGAAAAGTGAGAGTGCCGGCGAATCATTCCAATTCGCGATGCCCTCAATATTGGCGGAAATATTCATTGATGTCACTTTAAGCAATTCCGACGCGGAAAATTCAATCCGCCGCACTTCATGTCATCTGCACTAAATTGAGAATGATAGTTGAGCTCTTGGGCACTCCTTTCAATCACCATCAGATTCACAGTTAGGGAAAAAAGCATCGACAATTTGCTGTGTTTCTTGAGGAGATTTTGTCGGATAAGACAACAGATGCGCCGCAGTGTAACAATGGATTTGCCACTCATTGGAGATGAATTAAGAGATGGTGTGTTGGAAATTTGGAATCACTTGGAAATTTACTGGGCAGGAAATTGAAAATATTTGCAAACTTGGCGCCCCTCCAGGACGGGATTGATTAAAATGAGGCGCGCAAAAGGGGAGAAATTGAATTGCGTCGCGACAGATTGAATTTGCCTGAGGCTCTCAATGGAGCCGAAGAATGTCTGCAGAATGCCAGTGAATTGGTGAAAAATCAATTTGCCGTCCGGACGCTCTTCTCACCTTTCTGGCGACACAGGATGTTCAGTCGGACCGTCGGAGAAAAAGGGAACAAATAAGAGTCCGTGTGGGATTTATTGGTTGTTGCTCACAATGCGTGTGCATTGCGGGTCGCCATGGTGTATTTTATAGCAAAATCAACTGATTGTGACTCCAAGTGGGCGAACGTGTTTGAACAACAGTCACAGAGTGGCTTTTTTCTCCCTCCTCAAGAACTGCGCGCGTCCAGAGGAAGCCACAAGAAGTCTGGCTGTATTAATTCAAGTATGACAGAAATATTTCTTCTCGCATTTTTTCCATCTTAACCACCTCAAACCCGGCGATACCGAAAATTCCTCCATTTTTCGTCTTACACTTCAATTTACATTTCTTCTCTCGGCGATCGACTTTTTGCTCAAGTCACTCTTTTGACTCATGGTTCTTTAATAGACCGATGGCAAGAACATTAAATTGCTTTTTTGTCCCATGATTCGCCCAGGGTTCTTGAGAGGCGAACGAGTTCTCGAGTGCTGATCTTTCGGGAGCACTAAATTGAAGCACAAATCTCAGAAGTTTTAGTACTAAACATGATTCAAAAGATGAAAAAATCCCAGCTTTACTCATTAAAGATGTCGTCCAACAAATTGCTTCAGTCATTTGAAGTCCAAAAACAGCCGTGGTTAATTATAAATGACACTTTTTCACTGCTCGCGTCATTATTGCTAAAACCAAATGCATTTTTAATGTTCAGCCACGGTTTTCTGGTTGCCAACAAAAAACATTTATGCAAAAGTATACTGCAAAAAAAGCGGAGTATGGAATTTTAATGCAGTTGCGAAGGTGTAGCATTATTGCAAGAATTGTCCTCTGGATTCTCTCTCTGTGTGTCGAAAGTTTGGTGGATTTTTCAGATGGTTGAGTGGAAAATCTAGTTTCTGGGGACTTTTCCTATTTTCCCATATATAGAATTGATCCTGGGCAATTTCCCGCACGTCTCTATAAATTCGGTTTCAATTTCAATTCCACTGAGAGCGAGATGGAAGCAAGTTTCATGTGCCGTTCTTTGTTTCCTGACCTACAATGCGTCTCACTGCGATCTGGCCGCGAGGGAGATTCATCTCAGGCTGGGAGGCTGCGTCTGGCTCTGTCTGGCACGTGGATGTGCTGGCCCAGTGCTACCTGTGTCCCCGAGAGTCGTCTCGCTCTCGCCGGATGCCAGATTGGCAGTGCGATTGCGTGCCGGACGCCACTGCTCGATGGGTTTATCTCGCCACTGGCGTGCTTGAGAGTGAGCGAGACGAGTGTACGCTCGAATAGTGGCATCATGACACCGTAATATGAAACCAGCAAAGAGAGTCGAATCAGTTTGAGTTGAGTGTGCAATGAGTGAGTTCGTTTCGTTGACGTGGAGGCGATTTTTTCACTAAAGTGTCAATTTTCCACCCTCTTTTCCCACCATTTCTGGCGCTCGAGCTTCGTCTGTTCGTGTTTTCCGGGTGGGAAGCGGAAAATTTCCCGTGCGAAAGTCCTGAGAGACTGAGTGTCGCTAAGGAGTGTACAGGACATCACCTGAAACGTCACGCGAGTACGTCAAAGTGACAGTTTCTTAAAAAGGATATACATCTTGATATATAACACACAAAAATATCAGTGGCAGGATATTTTCTTGCTACACACACAGCAAAGTGTGCCACATTTTCAACTTTATAGTCGCCTAAAGAACGATTTTTCAACACAAGTATTTACTCGTCATCGCATCGAAGTTCGCAATCGAAGAGGGAGAATCCTTTCTGGAGACAGCGAAGAAGAAAAAAGAGGAGTGAAAAGTGATTTGAATTGAGGTGTAAAGTTTTATGTGCGGGAAAAAGCCATCGAAGAAATTTGTGTGCTGAAGCAAGAGAGGCAAAAGTGTGTCGTATGAATAAATCCCTTCTTTTTGGATAATTAATTCGAGAGACACAAGCATCGATTTGGCGTCTACAACGGTCAATGATGACATAATGGACTACCTTTTTTGCCAGGTACTGTTGGCACTTCTTTTCCCATTCAGTATTTACTTTCAGTGTTCTTTTGCGGATGCAAAAGTGCTTCTGTGGCGGCAAGAATTGCTGATTTTTGTCAAAATTTACCCACTCAATTAGCATCAATTCACATTTATTCAGTGGGAAGAAAAGTCTCAGAGGCGCGCACTTTGTGCTTAGGGTGAATCAGTTGGACATGAGTTGATGTTTCTCATGCAATGGCGGCAATTTATCGATCCATCGCCGAAAAGGACACCCACCCAGTTTTTTTTTTGTTGTGTTTGGGAAGAAATTTTGGTATTTCTTGCAGTGAAAAACCCCCGAAAAATGGGATTTTCTTCCTCAAGCCAATAAACATTGGAAGAAATTGTGGCTCTCCAGAAGAATTCGGAGAAAGTTGATGGCTGTTTTTTTTGTTGATTGGGAAGGGCATTTCATGAAATATTGATTTTTATTTCGTCGCAGTTGAGCAAAAGATTTTCCTCGATCCCTGTGACGTTGGGAGGTATTAATAAGTAAAGCTGCTTCATTGGAATACTTAATGGCACCTTTCACGTGGGTTTTCCTCATTTTCCGCATCTGAAAACGCGTTTCTTTCACAAAATCCAATTAATTATTCGGTTGATTTCATTCAATTACTGGCGGATTTAATGCAGAAAATTTGATGACCCCTAAAGCAAAGGAGAACCTTGAGAGCCGATGGAAATCGGTCAATCTTTTCTGTTTTCACCTTGACGAAATTGCCTGAACAGTCAATTAGTTATAAGGGAAGAAATTGATGAAGCCACGCCCACTCAGAAGCTCCGCCCCGGGAGTGAATAAATGCAGATTTTTCGTAGATATTTAGAATATATTTTGCAAAAAATCATGCTCTGCATCTCGAATTGTGTTGTTTCCACTGTTAAAAAGGGGAAAAATTTAGTTTCTTAAATTTTTCTACCTGTCACCTTAATTCAACATAGAGTCACATTGAGTGTTCAAGTGTTGGATCAATCATCAAGTTGTAAAATGGTCATCGAGAAGCCGTGTGAATGAGAAGAAGACGATAAAGCGATGAAGTCTGATGGTTAAAGAAATCAGAGACTCTCTGAGCTTGTGATACGTTATTTGACCTTCTACGTTCGGTTTCCCATTTTTAACCCGTTTGCTATCATTATTCCGGTTATAATGAGGGGAATTTGATTCAATTTTCATCGTTCTATTCCATCCCAGGTGATGATTCGTCTGTCGCTTTTTCTTTTTCTTTTGGGAGAGAAACCAATCATTTCATGTGGCGGTGGCAGGAATTTGGCAAAACTTACAGACAAATATTTGTGGATTCCTCCCTTTTTGCGCTTCTGTCTCGCCGATAAAATTGGATGGAATGACAGAGACTGCGAGATTAGAGCGTTCCACATAATGGCGAGGGATGTTTTCTTATGCAAATTCCTCGTATGTGGGTTGGATGTTGATGAACATGGAGAAACAAATAGACAGGAACATAATGATTGTGTTGGGAGAAATCCGGGGGCATTTTCTATGGAAATCTGATGCTCCTGGAGAGACTAATGAGTGTTGGATTCTTCACAACTCAAACACTCGCACTAGATTTGCTGTTATGATGAAATGAGAGCCCATTTTTTTGCTCCCTTGTTGTGAAAATTGAGTGAGAATTTCTTGGGCTCCAGAAAAATGCCTATAGATATGCAAATATGTCTGAAATACTTTTTTTTGGGCCCAGAGCACAGAAAATATGCTGATGATGGGCGAAACAAGGAGAATTCTGTCACTGATGAATTTTTCATCAGATGCTAAATTCTGGCAGCTCTTAAAGAGTACTTGATGTGAATTTGCATGGGAATTTTGTGTGTGAAATTTCTTGCTCTCAAATTACAAATCGATTTTGTGGTTTTTTCGACTTTGTCTTTTGGATTGGTTTTGCTTTGTCTTTTCGCAGCTCTTTGAAGTGCGTAAGTGAGTAATTTGTCCATCTTTTAGCTAAGATAGAAAAAAGGGAAGTTAGGCTTATCTCGTTGCCATTATCAAAAGTGGAAATCGCAATTCCTCATCAAAGAGCAAATATTTGGTTAATCTAAAATTTTTTCGCTGGAATTCAGTGATTCACAGTCAGAATTATCGCCTCTAGAAACTCGCTTGATTTGATTCTTGTGATAGTGAGAGCTTTAGCGATTGCGGAGAATGAAGTCTCAGGATGTAAATTCAATAGAAAATCACCACACGTCAAGTATATGAAACCTAGACAATATCACGTAAATCACTAAATTGGTAGGCAGTCGTTTTTTTTCCCTCCTTCAGCTACTCAATGGAAATTACGCGCCAAAGAGACATGAAAGATACATGCGAAAGACAGACGTACGAATTTTTTGTTTTCGGTGAGAGAGAGAGAATAAAATGTGGTTAAATTGTTGTATTATGATTATGCAAGATTGAACCACATTTGAAATTCAATTTATGTGAGCCGCGCTTTTCTATAACGTGCCAACCACTGAGTTGAAAATTGTGGTGCACAAACATTGGGGCGATTTGCTGCAGTTGGGCGCGAAGTTGGAGTGTCTCAGAGGCAATTTCTTGGCACTCTGGCGAGAAACTTGTTTTCCTCCTTATTTATTTTATGGTCATTTCTTCAGCCATTATATACCGTTGTCCCGACTGTGATTAGTATCTAATTAGGCCTCTAAATGTCTACCTGCAATTTTCGCTGAAAGGTCAATTCTTCCTGCTGATGGGGAATTTTTCACTTGTTCCACATTCTCGATGGCTGCACTTTATTCCCTCTAATTCAATTACCGCGTGTTGGAGACAGTTGCAGATACGCTGGCAAAATGTGGCCGATTGGCGCGGACAAGAAGGAGATGTTATGGTCAGAAGTGGTGTACAGATCAGTAGAAGTTTAGGGAAGTGTTGCAATTTATGCAATATTTGAGGTGTTTGTCAAAAAAAACCATAGATTTTATTACAATGCCTTCCACTATCCTCAAGTTTACGTGGAATTTTATGTGCACCTGAGAGATGGCAAACAATTTGCCACAATCCCTCAGGGTGGCAGCATAGACATTGAGAATGGCGTTCTATAGGCAAAGGTTATTACACTGGGAGTAATCCTCGTATGCATTTCTGGGCTTCTCTTGTATGCATCTAACCTCATTTCCCGTGCAATTATTCACCCATTGCGCCGCTGAATGGTGGAGCCTCTGCCACGGCTGTTTTTTCCGCTCACTCACGGGGGAAAATTAATTTTCATGTATAAGGCACAAGAGCGCCAAACACCACGAGACGACGGGGTATGTTTATGCTCGCAAAGGGAGGGAAATCAATTGGGAACGTTGCCATGACAATCTCAGATGGGATTCGGCGTCAGCATCCCAACTTCTGATGATATTCACTGGGTGTATATAACGCACTTTTTCTTGCTGTGCCATCGCAGGAAAGCCAGAGAGACTCCACTTGTTCGCAAGTGGCCTTTTTTCTTGCCTTCTCTGCATTTCCAGTGCGACTTTTTCTCGCCAGCATCCCAACAATAAATGCATTACTCGAGAGGCAGAGAGAGAGATACAGATAATAGGCATCTCTGGGCAATTTATCTCCGACTATCAGATACAACAAACAGTCGTCACAGATTAGATTTAATGGAGCTAGAGTAGGGTCATGAGTTCTGTGAAAATATATGAAAATTTCACAGTAAGAGAGATATTTTCTTCCGTATCTGAATTGGTTTTATCAACTATTTTTGTTGCAAGTGGAGAAAGGAGGGATTTTCATTGGTCTTATTTGAAGGAAAGTCGATAAAACAATTGAAAAACTATGTCAAGAAAATGCTAAGCAGTGAATATGACCTCGTTTTAGTCACAATATCATTTGATTTATCAGATAATTAGCTTGCTCTTTGATCTGAGTGCAATGGCTAATTGCATTATTACATGGCATAACGAGTTAAAAAGAAAGCTTTGGGAAAAAATTATGCATTGCGCGATTATTATGTCACTTGACGATATTTCTATGCGATAATGAGATAATTTCACGATAAAATAATACTCACGTTGTCAAATAAATGAAATTTTCTATTCAATAGTGTATAAAATGCTTGCTTTGAAGGTTGAAATTGGGACGTTTTAGCGCATAAAAGTTATCACTTCGCAATATTCAGATATCTCTCTCAACTCCACACTTTATATCGCACTTCTCGCGTCAGTAAAGCTGAGACACAGTCAGAAGTTTTATGATCCAAATAAATTAGACAATTTAGTAGGCATTCACATATGATTGACAAGCGTAACCCTTCACAAAAAACAGCATCTGAGGGTGACCTTAAGCCCAAAATCTCCAATCAATAGCGCATTGAGAGGCGTCTTGAGGCAAACACTTCGAGCCATTCTTCTGGGATCTCCCATAAAGTTTCCCAATTGGCCGAATTAATTGAGATGGTATTATATCGACTGTGAATTTAGTACCATTTTCTTTTTCATCCATAATCTTCTCTGCTGGGACACAATTGCTGTTGGGCCCTCTCTGAAGCTGGAGAGACGCTGAATTAAGGCGTCTTGTGGGAAAAAATTGCTCAACACCTGAGAAACCACGAGCCATAAAACACTCCCGTGAATTAATTTCTGACATTGCATCAGTTTTTGAGAGCACCTGAGAATGAATTCCATCGAAAATAGATATTATGTGTGGCGGCAGCTCGAAATTCGTGTTTTTCACACATTAGATCGCCTTTTGCATACAAAATGCGATGAGAAGGCGAAGAAAAAAAGTGGTCACAGGCTTGTGGGTGGGAGGAAAAGTGGCTGAAAAGACGGTGGAGAGTGAGAGAGACCCTGAAAATAATTCCAAGGAAAGTCACAAAAAGTCAATATTTATCGCTGATCTCAAGCGAACGGAGGTGAATTTGATGTTCCTGTTCTTTTGACCTCTGATTTCTTTATGCTCTCCATTTCGCATTTTCAGGACGTGTGTGCGCGCGATTCGGCACATTATTTGTCAAATGTGTGGCTTTCAATTGACTCTCGGCATGTAAATTTTCCATATTCACCCCAACTGCCAAAGTGCCAGAGTGGTCAATCATGAAAATCCATTTTGCCATCTCAATTGCCAATTACAGTTCTGTGACTCTTCCATGCCTTTTGTCTCTCAACAATTCTCGCGTGTCCAACAATTCCAAGGACAAAATTGACCTCATCAGCAAATTGCTGGGTTTATCTACGAGCGCTTTAGTCTATATTTTCACCGATTCCACCATCTCATTTCAACTGTCACATAGCATTTCGCCTCCCTCGTGGTTGAAAATGAGGAAGTGGTCAATTTGGGTTTATTTTGAGGCTGTGCGAGGAAAAAGTTTCACTGCTTTTGCACCAGTGAAAATTTCCCGACCCCGTCAAAGTGTGTGCCTGATTGGCTTCCATTGTGAGGAAGTCGAAAAAGGATTTCCGCCCAGACAAATTTCCCACGAGACATGACAATTTTTCCCCAATAAAGATAAATTGTCGCCTCTTCAATTGCTAATGAATTCACATTTCGTTGCCGATAAAATACCTTCAAGATTGCCTTCTATCTTTGGATTGTATATACAGCAAAAAATTCATATTTAAATTTGTTAGATTAATTTGTCTGATGAAAAGTCAAGCAATTAATCCAACGGCTTCGTAATTGATGTGATGTTTTTTTTCTTGTGTGAACACATTTAATGAGAAACATTGAGATTCGAAATACTGTCGCACCAGATTTTCGAGGAAGGGCACAAAAAAGACACAGTTTGACATTTAATTGAGTGTGTGATAAAAAAAAAAGCCAGATCAAAGAACATGCCATCCGGAGTGAAGTTGGACTATTTGAATAATAGAAGGGGGTTTGCATATGTAATGTCCAGAAAAAGGTTAAATGCCCGTTGATCAAACAGGTGAGCGGCTTCGAGTGGCTTATTGACAATGATGTCATCTTAAGCCATGCTTTCAGCCAATATTGGACTGCTAAAGAGATCTTGTAGTTTCTATAGAGCTTTATGGATCATTGGCAATTTGAGCGTGCGCGCGAAAAAAAGTTGTCCACAAAGAAGGAAATGAATAAATGAGGAATACAAATTGTCACGCAATCAATTTGATATATATATATTTTAATAACTTCGAAGCTCATGACTTCGGATAACACACGTCTGCAAGTCATATCATTTGCATTAACTCTGTTCACCTCTTTTCAGGCTCACTAAGCATTCAATGAGGACAACCAAATAGGGATCGAGCGAGGGTGCAACTGAGTGTTCGCTATGGATCCTGGAGGCTACGCAGACGACGATTTGCCACCGCCAGCCTCTCCGGAGCCTCGCGATGGTTGGCTCCTGGTGCGGATTCACGTGCCTGAGCTGAACGTGTCCAAGTGTCTCCAATTCCCGGCCGATCGGCTGGTGTGGAATGTGAAGCAGCAAGTTTTGGCATCTCTTCCAAAGGTAATGAAGCCCATCAGAAAATTCTCTCTCTCTCTCTCTCTCTCTCCCTCTCTCATTCGCCGCGCGTCGACAGAGTTGCGAGTGCCATAGATGGAAGACAAGACATTAATTTACGAGAGATATGTGCGAAAATTGAGTGGTCAATGGTGGCTTGAGATAGTATTCAATTAGAGTTGAAAGTGTATTTTGCGATCGTAAATTATGTGGAGATGTTTACGAGTGTGGCTATAAAAATTTGCTGAAAATGGACAATATTGACTGGGATATTATTTTTGTGGAGTCTCTAGAATTTCTGGGAATTCACTGCGGGAGGGGTTAATAGGTTTCCCATGCTGATAGTGATCTACTTTTGGGCAGATCTTGATGACTATTGAGCAGCTATTGGACAGAAGTTGAATTTATTGGCAAAATTCTTTCGCAAAATTAGATGGAAAAATGCATAATGTGCACTTTGAGTTGCCTAAAGTCCATCGTAAAAGTCTTCTAATGGCCACCATAAAGCTCTCATTAAATTTATTAATTGGAATTCCTTGTACGCTTCCTGCAAAATGGCTCGCCAACAAGTCACCTGCTGGCAATTTGTATGGCTTTATTGGCAAATGGCAATCAGTCGATCATCATTTCACTATTAGGAGACGCGCTCAAGGAAATCTCATTTATGGTCTCCAATCTAGATATGAATGCTCGACTATCGCAACTCTGACGCCTTCTCGCATGAGATTTTCGGCCGTATCAGACGCCGAAAGACTCCTCATTCGCGGCCAGCAATTGACTCCAAATGAGGGTCAATTAAATTGCCTCAATTGGGCCTCAAACAGAGACTGAAAAATGAAATTCACTCTGTTCCACTTGCACATGAGAATGTCTCAATGAAAGTAAATGCCTTTCTTGCCATCCGACAAAATTGAATCATTTTCTGTGTTACTATTTACTTATCTTATCGTCAACACTTTTGACCATGCGAAACACACGCATTTTGTGGTAATCGAGCCTCATAGATGGCAATCATCCAATAATATTCGCTTTTGAAGCGCAACGTTGACCGAAATCTTTGCACACACAATTGGGCAATTTCGATATGTTTTCCATGCGGAAAATTGAACGTTTTCTTGCGGAGATGCTTTTGTCGACTCTCTGCACATAATTTTGAGCAAGTGTATTAAATTTTTCTACGCTCTGGGACTCTCACTTGTGTAAATGCTCTGCTGTGTAATATGGTATTTACACAAGTTGCCTCAACTTTATTATTTCGAGTCGCCTCTTTTTTTTCGTCCGACACTCGCGGGAAGTGAACAATGGCGCAGCTTATTGAGTGCGAGAGAGAGAGAGACAAATTCCGCCAAAGTGAATAAAGTGTAACATAAGAGTAGCTCTCAAGTAGCAATATTAGAGTGTGTATTTTTTTCTTATCGCATCACAGCCTCTAGAATTAATGGAATCGCAATCATAAATTTTGCTGATTAATTTCTCACTACAGTTGAGACACCGCACTTAATCAAGCGATAAGACAGTGGAATTGTCTCTTCTTTTTCGGAAGAAAACTACGCTAAATCTTGTGGCATGGAAACATCTTGGTGGGCGTTAATGGTTTTCGAATAATTGATAAAAGCAAATTAGCATTCATTTTGTGAAATCTCACTGTTTTAGCACTTTAAATGCGATCATGTGAGTTTCATATGGAAATTATATGTGAAATGGTGAAGAGGAAAATTGCTTAGAAGTTCCGCCCACTCATATGCGCCGCCTCCACACAAATTTGGAAACAGACTCAATTTTGGACTGATAATACAACACAAAATAGACAATTATTTGTTGTAATAAAGCCATGTTTTGCATACATTCTCTGAATTGTTGCAGAAGTCAGTGTGAATTTTTCTGATTATGGGTTAATCAAGGGCGCACTTTTCATGAACCAACTTTTGAAATACCTGAAATACAAGAGAAGCGAGTGTAGAAAGAATATTTCGGGTGAAAACAGGCTCATTTTTGTACGCAATTCAGTCTCTCTTTAGTCATCAGTAATCATAATTCAGCCAAAATGCCCTGAAACTTTAAACTGCTATCAATCACGTTCAGTTTATTCATCCCATTGGATGAACAGAACGGCCAAAATTGCCCATATTTCAGCTTAGTGGGTGAAAATTGATAAATCCCTGTCGATAGTGATATCTTTATTGTTTGGTTGTGTACTTAAACAATTATTCAGCAGATTGTTTGCCTTCCAGCTGCAAATTAAAGCCCGATGCCTTATCAGTCCAATCTCAGTCGTATTTGTTCTATTTATTCCATACTCAAGAGATTTGTTCCATTGCAATCACACTTGTTCCTTGCCACAAGAGCGTATTACACAATAAAGAGCAATTCAAGTTGAGAAGCAGAAATGGTTGTATTTTCTAATTAAATCTGAGCAGTGAATTTGCGGTGAGTTTTCTCTCACAGCAAATGCAAGTCTTTTGCCAGTGACAATGGACTAAAAAAAAAGGCTCTTTCTTCACAACTTCCTGCGACGGAAGGAAGTGGAGGCAACAATTGAAATTTGTACCTCAAATCATTGATTCTTGTGGGAAAAAGGCACTCTTTTTTCTGTGCTCTTTTTTCTCTCCCACCTTCTCAGTAATTGTGTTTACTTGCCATTGAATTTCCTGACCGTAAATTTTGCTTTAGTGGGCATAAAAAAGTCACTGCAAGAGTGTATTTATGCAAAATTTCAATTTATTAACTCTCTGTCTCTCTTTCACATGATATTTGTCATTATTGTTTTCCACCATTCATCGTTTATTTAATTAGGCACTTTTTTTTTAATATTTTATACTACAATTCTCTTTATATATGTTTTTATTCACGTCACCGTCAACGCTCAACGGGCTTTTCTTTTTGCTAATTCTGTCGTTCACACTAAAATGTTGTTCTTACACGGCTAAATTGTTGCACACAACACAACACCAACAATTTTCCTACATACAACAAAAAAAAACTCACGACGAATGTGTGGCTTCAGGTTGCTTTTTGGTTTCGGGTAGGTGGAAAAAGGCTACATATCAAGCAATGTTGTTGTTGGAACGCACTTTTCTTGCTGCAAGTTTCTGCCTCTGAAGCACGATTAAAATAGGCATGACAAAATATTTAGAATCTCTCTATATATTGCAACCTTCATGGAATGCTCACTCAAGATATTATACGAGCAATTCGCGCGCATGATGTTCCTGATTGTTTGCTGCCCATTAAATTGCCTGATTCATCTTTTTACATGCATTTATGTCACACTTTTATGTGCTTTCCAAAGACGTTCATTTTTGCCATTACCATATAATTTACATAATTCATCTACACTTTTAGTTCACTTGGAGGTTCTTTTTGCCTCCGCGTCACTTGAACTCACAACAATAGAAATAATTGTAAGGACAATTTAAGGCTCCGCCCCTTCACCTGCCCCGCCCTTAAATCTGAATATCCTTCATATGAAGCTTGAATGTCACTTTAAGTGATCTTTTTCAGTGTCATTCACAGCACAAGAACTCCAATTTCAGCTCCAATGACTATGGATTTGATCTGATTATGTCTCTCTGTGGCTTTTTCAGTGGTGTCACCAATTCAGGTGACGCTTCTTAGGTTTCTTCTACGCTGTGGAATTCACTTTTCGCATATAGAATAGCATTTTCTTTGCCGTTCGTGACCGTGCAAAGTCATCTTTCAAGGGGTTTCTCAGATTCGCTAAACGCTCGATTAATTGCTCAACCGGGAATAAAAATGGGTCACAAAGTCATAGAGAGCAAAATGTGGATCACACGTATTATGGAAATGAGATTTAACATCTCACACTGTCTTCGCCCACAAGTGCATCGCGAGTGACGTTGGAAAAATTGTATGCAAATATAATTCCACATGGCATTGTCACTTAATGCCGCGCCACGGAGTTGAACATGTGTCAAAATGTTGTGATTTTTTGGGCGTACAATGAAGGGGATTTTTCTCCTCCTCTTGATGCCCATTGAAATTGCAACCAACTCAGGCTCATTTCACATTCAATGGATGTGAATAATTAAAATTTTATGCGGCAAAATAGATACTCCCACGCTTGCCAGACACTGTTTCATTTCACCCATTTATATTGCAAATGCTTGCGGGGCGGCGGCACAATTGACAAACTTCTTAATTGCAGAGCTTCAATTACAATCGTCATCTGAGGCAGTTTTGCTGCAGCCCCAAACTGTTGTTATCGTTTGCCATAGAGAATAGACAGTGTTTATGGGTGTCTAAAGTGTATAATTTGATCGTGAGGCGTGCTTTCTCACTCGATGCCTCTTGCCAGAGAAGCCCGGCATTTAATTTGTACAAATTGTGGTGTGTAAGAAAAATTTTATGGTGACTTGAGAAACAAGCAATTCCGTGCCCCTTTTTAGACAATTGTCTGCACGCCAAATTAATTGAGACAGATGAACGGACGGCGCAGGGAGGAAAAAGCGCCGTCACTAAATTATTGGCCGCATGGATAAGAAAAACATCACAATGGTGTTGGGCATTTCGCGAGCAAAAACGCCACTTTTGCAATCAATTCGCCCAGTAATTAATGACGCGATAGTGACAAGTCGCGCACGGGGAAATCAAATGCAAGAGAGCCGCGAAGGGAGAGCGAAGAACCAAGGCCGTCATCTCGCGAGATTATTATTTATATTCGCAATATTATATGTTTAATGTGCTGCGTTGAGCCTCTTTTTTCTTGGGAGCGCTGTCGCGTCTCAATGGCAAATCCGGCGATTCCAGTGGCATCACGAGGCTGAAAAACAACACCTGTTGTTCTTCCGTGTTCTCCCACAATCATCTCAGGTGGGAGACTCTTGTCGGGCGTCTCAGAACGACGGAAGAGTGAGGAATGTCTGTGTTTTACTTTCATTGTGAATTGAGGGAGTTTTCTCGCGTGGAATCTTCATTTGGCAAATGGCATTTTGCGCTGATGGGTAAATACAATAAGGAGGGGAGAAAAAGCTTGAGAATTAAACTTATTTGCCCTCCTTAAGATTTATATATTTTAATAAATGAGTGAGATAGACAAATGGAAGAGAAGAAAATGATCATAATTTCAGTTTTTATTGGCAAATCTTGATGATCTGAGGATTAGTTGGGAAACTCTTGCAAAATGTCATCTTTTTTATGTTAAATATCTTAAGAATAAGGCAATAAACTCTATTTTACCTTTCAAATATCAACTAAAATCATGCTTCAATTTGATTTTATTGAGCTTACAGTCTCAGAAAATTTTAGAATTGTCCACACAAATTCCACAGAGCGCTATTAAACTTAAACCCATAAGAATCCTTTTAATCCCCAGCGAAATCTCTCTTCACTTTTAACTTTTAATCCCAGAATAAGAGTATATTTCAGTGGGATATCGCATTGAGAGCTGTTTGAGAGTCTTTCTCTTATATGTAGAAGCGATTTTATATTATTAAGTTATTTATTAACAAGTTCAAAGCCTCTGGAAGTATAATCGATCAATAATTTTCCCCCACTTGAAAGTCCAACAACGCCCGTGTCTCTAAAGAACTTATCACAAATTACAGAAATCTGGTATTCTATGGATTTTCCCCATCGTCTTTCCCTCGAGGGAAAGACGTCTCTTTTCTCCTAAATTACAACGTGTCTGAAAGTGCTGAAAAATACCCCGTAATTAATGACTTCCCCCCGATTATCTGGTAAATTCTCTCGTCCAGTGTGAAGAAGAAAAAAATCGTTAATCATTTCACGCAATAATGGCAATATTCGAAGTCTAAGTCGTCGCAATCTCACCGAATTGCATAACGACCACTGACTTTATGGTGGCTTTAAGACTTGACCATCGCGCGTCCACAAAAACCACCGTGAAGTCACTCTTTGGCTGTACAGTTAAATTGGCGGCAAGAGGTGTGATTTTTTACCTTCTCCGTTTCCAACTCTATGACATAATTTTGTCATGAAGAGACTTTTTCCCAGGAAAGACGGCAAAAAATCACCCACGAGGCGCAGAACTGATGACGATGGCATTCCACGAAGTCTGCGTGTCACCTTTCATGAATCTGCCCAGACAATCTCCCTCGTGTGGGTTCCTGTGCTGCATTGGAAACCCTTGAAAAAAGTCCCGGCGCGTGTTTAAGTAAATGAAACCTTATGGCAGCGCATTGAATTGCTCAGCAAGTCAGCAAAATTGCCAGAGAGTGATTAAAGTGCTGATTGTGGGCCATCCTCAGGGAGTTGTGGGTGTTGTGACAGCAATTCCCGAGGGGCGATGCACATGAAAATTGCGCCTTGGCATTGATTTCTAATTGCCGCACACACGCTAATCGGTGCGCGGCGCAATTATGGAAAATCTTGAGGAATTGCATGACCGTTGGCGCTTTTCTTTGTCGGTTGATCGCAGAAAAATCGCTCAACAAGTGGAGATGTTTTTTTTTTCTGTGTTTGACGATTAATTGGTAATTATCTGGCTAATTAAAATGCACCTCTCTGTGATCACTTCGCTGATCCCAGAGACTTCATTAATCATCAATCGAAAGTTTTGTGAGAAGAAATCCGCCGCAGAGCAAAATATCACACATTTTTACGTCATTTTGTTAAATAAACTACACATACTCACAATTTGCTTCAATTTAGCTTAAAGAGCCATTATTTCCTAAGTCATTTTCTTGTGGGAACGTGCCAAAGTGTCTCACTCTCTCACCTCTTGGACAGATACAATTGGGAAAAAGTGTTAAAATTGAAGAATTTCACTAATTATTTCGATTACGTAAGTTCATTGCAAACCATAAGCTTTGTATGTTGATGATTTTAGTGAAAAAATTCCCATTACTTTGCCGTGGTTTGTAAAAGTCAAAAGAATGAAGGTGTAATTCTAAGAAACTATGGAAAGTTTAAAGTCTTTCTCCTCCTCTGTTATTTGAATAAATATTTCACTTTTGCGACTCTGCAAACTATTGCAGCTTAAGCATTCTTTCGCCAATTTATTTGCATTCAAGCGATTTATCATGATATTCTTAAGTTATGCATATATGCATAAATAACAAATGACTTGAGGATATTATCCGAAAATTCTTCTGTCTGCGCGCAGTGTCGTGCTATTGACCCCTCAACGGAGGCGCACCTGAACTTCTGAGGGGCTCAGGAGGAATTGCATGATGTTCGCCTTTGCCTCCCTTTTTATTATTGCTTGGTTTGTTGTTGAAATTAAAAGCCAGTTTATTGAGCCTCTCCTTGATTTTTTTTCCCTTCTCGTGACATGACAATTTCGAGGACAACACAATGTAAAGAGCGCTTCTTTTTCAACCCCTCTTTCGACAGGAGCTCAAGGAGTCATTCAACTACGGCCTCTTCTGTCCGCCATCGAATGGGAAAGCCGGAAAATTCCTCGATGAGGAGCGTCGCCTGGGGGATTATCCCTTCAATGGGCCCGTTGGGTATCTCGAGGTGAGTGTCCTGGATCGCTTTCTGCACTTTTTCGGCTAAACACACACTTTCTCTCCCCTTTTTGGCAGCTGAAGTACAAGAGGCGCGTGTACAAGATGCTGAATCTGGACGAGAAGCAGCTCAAGGCGCTGCACACCAGGGCGAATCTGAGGCGCTTCCTGGAGTGCGTAAGCGGCGGTCATGTGGAGAAGATCTCCAAGATGTGCGCCAAGGGTCTCGATCCCAACTTTCACTGTCCGGAGACGGGCGAGACGCCGCTCACGATGGCCACGGGTGCCAAGAAGCCCAACAAACTGCTAATCGCTCTAGTCAACGGGGGCGCCATTCTCGACTACCGGACACGCGACGGCGCCACGGCGCTCCACAAGGCGGTGGAGAGGGACTCCCTGGAGGCGGTCTCGTGAGTATCATACCCTCAAATTCAATTCATTTAACAGTGAAACCGCGTCCAATTAGGGCATGGAAATTGAGTGGCTTTGATGCATATTTCACAAAAGGTCCCTTTGAGTGCATTTTCCCTGGAAATCATTTTTGCAGAGAGTCAGGAAATTTAATTAAGGGATGGTTTTGCACCGTGTGTGTGATTGAATTTCATAATGAAGCCTGCAGTGAGGAAAATATTAAACCACAGTGGAAAAGAGTTAATCAATGATATCATATTGCTAATAATTTTAAAGTCAATTTAAAACACAGTTAAGAGCAAAATTGTTTGCAAAACAATATAATTTTCGACCTGCCATTGTTAGATAGATCATTTGATGTGATTTTATTGATCAGTTCAGGGCTATATTGGATATCACGAATGATTACGTGCGCGTTTGCAAGTTGATCAGTGAGAAACAGCCTTGTCACCTTCGCAACAAACTGTGCTAAATCATCAGCAACTGCAGAAACTTCTTCTGGGATTGTATGTGCAAACGTGAAAGAAAGTCTTCTGAAAACATTCTAAAAATTCGCCAGAGTCCGAGGCGTTGCATAACTGATAACGTTGGCTGATGAATCGAAAGTCGCACGAGGCGTCAATCAACTTTCGTCGCGTTGGCCCACATCTTGGGTTTGAGTGGCAATGGAGAGACAATGGAAAGCTGATGGATTGCTTAGCATGAATTTGCTTAGCGGGGAGTTTATGAGGTTGTGTCTTGGCGAGATGAGGAATTTGCTCAACAACAAGAGTCTAGATAGAATTTGCACAGAGCCGCGCGCGCGCGCGCGAAGAAGGTGAAGTGGAAAAAGAGGTAAAGGAACTCGGCAAACTGTTCACAATCAGGTGCGGATTGTGATCAAGCGCGCGGGTCAAATCCGAATTCAATCGTGCTGCTCTGCCAATTGACATTGCAGAGACATTGATCTGTGAGTGGAAATTGATCCAAGGCGAGAGAAGTCACTAATATTGATGAGGGCATGCGAGGTTGGGGTGAATGAAAAAAAAAATATGTATAAGAAAAAAGAGAGCCAGAAAGCCTGTGATATTTATGACACGCAATCTGGGCATCAGACAATGAGAGAATCGATAAATCCGCACCTGATGGCGAGAGTCCGCAAGATTGAAGAAGTTGGAAAGGAGCAAAAAGAGGCAACAAACGCGAGATTTCTGTGCTCACGGTGAAAACTGGTTTTACTCTTGGCCATATTTGAGCCTCTTGCGAGGCGAACCCGCAAAGTATTCAACTATTGTACCTCGGCCGAGTGTACGCAAACAGAGACTCTCGGCATATGAGGTGATTTGCGGTGTGGATTGCCATAATTTTATTGGCATCCACTGCGCGCAATCTGGTTCTGTGCCATGCTCTCAAGAGCTGTGTCTCGAGCGTCGCGAAGAGGGCGAACAGAGGCAGAGCCTTATGTCATCGTGGGAGATTCACGTCGCGCATAATTGGGAGTCCTTTTGGTCTTTGGGCGCTGCGCCAGGAAAAAAGACCATTGACCGTCTCGTGGTCTTCAAGAGGATATCGGCTTCGATGTCCTACTCGAAATGCCAACGATCTACGATGAGTTCACCATAAGACTTGACCATAAATTCATGAGCACAAGATTGAGTGCAAAAAAAAACAGTCCCGCGAGAGACGAGAAGTTGCGCACGGGAGTGGATAAAAAAGGGAATTCTTCTAAGCCAAGCAAGAGCACTCTGGTGAATGACAATCAGCACAAGTTCTGCGCGGTGCCCACACTGGTTTGCCCAAGAAGGCGGCGGAGGAGAGACGTCTAATGTCCGGATGTCCAGCCACAATCTTTCAGCCATAAATTTCTCTCGCAATTCTCCTCCTTCATTCTTTCACCGCGCACCATTCCAGGGTTCATTGTGGCGATGTGTAATTGAGTTTAATTTGTTACTAAATGGACGTGGTCTCACTATCTGGTCTATTCTCGGGTCGTCAATCTCATGAGCGTGCATTTCTCTTGTCCAAACCACACTCACACAGAACTCTTCTCGAGCTGGGCGCTTCGCCAAACTACAAAGATATCCGCGGAATGACGCCCGTGTACTTGTCAGTGACGAAGAAGACGGACGCCAAGATATGCGAGGGCCTCCTGCACGATCACGCCACGCTGGGCACGCAGGACACCCAAGGATGGCAAGAGGTGCACCAGGTAAGTCTGCTGATCATGCAAACGGTGGTGGTTCCATATATATATTTATTGATTTTCTCAGCGCGCCCTCAGAATTTCTGCAGCAATTCAATTAACCCATTGACTTCCGCCACCATCACAGCTCTCAATCTGTCTATATTGTGAATATTTAACCTAGCAATTTGCATCTCCACTCATCAGTAGTGCAATTTTCTCCAACTACCCAACAGTTAAATAGCCTCCGCTGCAGAGGACTGATTTTTAATTGCTTTCCGGAAGTCAATTAAAAGTTGTGTACTTTACAAAATGCTCTGAATTTTCGTGGTTATGGACGAGTAGGTAATTGATGGAGAATTAAAGTTCTGATGTTGTATCATGAAACACTGACTAGAGAAATGGAGAATAGAATTCTCAAAAATAGACTGAAAATGGGGGCAAATAAAAGCAATTTCCGCTTACAAATCCATTAAGGGAAAGCATAGGAAAAATTCAAGTAAATTTCAAACGTATATGAATAAAATGTTTGCTAGATTTGCACTTTAAACTGAATTACTTCACTTCACATCGAAGATTAGACTCTGACCTAAGTTTCTCAGATGGTTTTATGGGTTAACCAAATGAGCTATGTCAATAACCCTTTAGTTTCCCATCGCAACTGATTAATTAAAATTCTGTTATGCATGAAAAATGCCTGAATCTTAGACGTTTTAGCTTATCCCATTCATTGATTTGATGGAAACCGTAAAATTCTTCAATATCTCTCCCTCTCTCTCTCCTGTTGAGAGAGAGAAGAAAAGAGAGGAAAAAAACTGTTAAGAACGCATCTCGTTGGCGAGAATGCATCAAGTTGAAGGCTTTTCAAGGTCTAACGATGATAATTGCAATTTCTATGATTTATGATCGTGATAATTGCACATCACTCATGATCCATCGATTGAGATAATATTTAGGTTCTGCGCCTTGATAGCGTCTGGCGGAGATTGAGGGCTGTTCTGGTGTGTGCTGAGCCTATTTATAGTGCCGAATTGAGTGGCTTTCGCTCTGTGAGAGGGCGGCTGTGGTTGGGGGTAGTGCTAGAGTTGGACTCACTTGTTGGTGTCTCTTGTCGCCGCAGGCCTGCCGCAATGGTCTGGTCCATCACCTCGAGCACTTGCTGTTCTACGGTGCCGACATGGATGGTCAGAATGCGTCTGGCAACACGCCGCTGCATGTTTGTGCTGTTAACAATCAAGAGGCTTGCGCTAGAATGCTTCTCTTTCGCGGCGCCCAGCGCGGCGCCCTCAATTATGCCAATCAGACGCCGTATCAGGTAAAAAAAAAAGCATAGAAAAGACTGGTGACTGACTAACCTCTTTGCTGATGATCTTCTCTTGCATCCCTGGCCAATCTAACCTGTTGCCTCCCAATCTGCAGGTCGCCGTGATTGCCGGCAACTTGGAGCTCGCCGAGATGATCCAGAACTACAAAGCTGAAGACATTGGTAAATATTGGCCAGAGCGCATCTGGAAAGAAAGAGAAATTTTATTAATTGAATGTTCCTCTTTCTCTATTCTCTTATTATTTTTTTCACCAGCCTCTCTTTCTCTCTCTCTCTCTCAATTGATACATGATGTCTTTCCTTAATAACTCTGGGCACTGTTTTGCCCAAAGAGTGAGAGAGAAAGGGAGGTTTTTTTTCAATTAAATTTCAATAGCTCTAAATTCACTTCATTGTTCTCGTTGTTTCGCCTGTTTATTAGCTATGGATTTTATTAGCTTTCTTACTACGTTTTTTCGTTGTTGCCAAATGAGAATACCTTTCTTAGAATGCTCAAATCCATCATCCGAAATGTTAGTCCAGAGAATTCTGAAAAAAAAGAATTTGTTCGTTTGAATGTGATTAGTTTTTCCCTCCATTCAATATAATTGTTGATCTCTTCATTTTGTCAGCGATCAATGTTGAGTGAGATTTTGGCCGCACTCAGAGAAATTCGAGTCTTTTTTTTTCATGTTTCATGGGAAAATCTTAGCCAATTTTTACGTATTTTTCTATTAAAGTTGAATTGTCGGTAATTTTCTCTGAGTGCATTTAAATCAAAACCATGAAGATTCACCTCGATTGGCAATCAATCAATTCTCAGCACTGATCGCAAGAGTCCTAATTTCATTTCATCCGTAATAATGTTTACAATTTCTTTTCATCACTGTTACATGTTACGAGTTCTTAATCTCTTTCTTATTGGCCTGTTCGACATTAGTGGCAGCACAATATTGTTTAATTGCGTGCTTCTTGATCTAGAAATGTGCCTTGGAATATAACTTCCGGCCTCACGGCCGGAGTGGTGTTGAGATATTAGGGAAATGCAGGGCGAATAAACTGGCACACAATGGGACATTGGAGAGCATAAATCTGGTCAGTGAAGACACACACACACACTTTTCTCCACAGTCCCCTTCCGCGGTCCGCCAAGGTACAATCCGAGACGGCGCTCGGGCGTGGCGTGGGGCCCCGCGAGCGCCATGGGGCGCCTCATGGGGCCGCCGTCGCCCTGCCCGAGCGAGCATCCCTTCAGCTCGGCCAGCTCTAGCCTGTCGGAGAGCTCCTCCAGCCACAGGAGTCACGAGGACGACATCAGCATCGTCACAGGTAATCCGTGCGCGCGTCATCCGCGGTTGCATGTTGCCATGCTGTTGCATGTTAGTCGTGTTGTTGAACCCTTGCATCTTGCGCTTCTAACCCTTCCTCTGCTCCACCATTGCTCATCCTCTCGCTCTCTCTCTCTTGGCTTCCCACCGCGATGACACTGGCTCACGAGTCCCTCCTTTGATCCCCACAGACAAGAGCCTCGGCGACACCAGCGACATCATCAGCGACTCCTCGGGAGTGGGCACCAGCTCGGACAGCGCCGCCTGCTCCATCGGCCATCCCAGCACTACGGTCGTCTGCATGGAGCGATACGTGGCCCAACAGCAGGGCCACCTCACCATCCAGCCGGGAGATGTGATCGAGGTCGTGGGCTCCACTGACTGCGGCCTGCTCGAGGGATATGTGCGCGGCACCAACAGATCTGGCCTGTTTCCCATTCATCACATCCAGGAGGTGAACATTCGCCAGAAGAACATCACGAACGTCTCGACAGCAAGTCAGGAAGTCAACACCAGACAGACACACTTTGTCCAGGACTTCAATGCCACAGAGCCGAGAATAAAGAAAGTGTAAGTTACGCCAATTCCATCCATTTGATCCTTCCACTCACGACCATTTATTATCCCTTTCAGAGGTCTTTCGGAGCCACGCACGGTTGTTCTGCACCGTGGAAAGCGAGGCTTCGGATTCATCCTGCGCGGTGCCAAAGCCACATCTCCTCTCATGCAGCTGAAGCCATCTGAACGGTGTCCAGCTCTGCAATATCTAGACGATGTGGATCCCGACGGAATCGCCGATATGGCTGGCTTGCGTCCCGGTGACTTCCTCATAGCCGTAAGACAGCAGCACTGATAGTGTTGTTCTGCTCTTCTCACACTCTTCTCTTCACTTCTAGATTAATAATGAGGACGTGAGGGCGGCTTCTCACGAGCACGTGGTGGATCTCATCAGGAATTCCGGCGCACTCGTGTCGATGACGGTTATTTCGCAGCTCTTGCCCGGTCAGCCTGTGCCACAGGCGACTCAGAGTGGCTTCCGGACGCCGCTAGCCAATCGCCAATGTGCCACACTGCCACGCCACATGTCAGGCCTGATCCCAGGACACGGAGGCAAGATGCCGGCGCCTCTGCCGCCACGGCGCGATCCCAAAACTACCCTCAGCGTGGGTCGGGCTCGAGCGAAGTCGATGGTGGCGGGCTTGGAGGGTGGCAGCACGGCCGATGATGACGACTTGACGCCCACGGCGAAGTCCAGTTCGGCTGAGAGTATCCACCAGACACAGAGCGCCGTATCGACACCCACTCAGGGCGGTCCGGGGACTCCGATACAGCCCAGGACGGCGAGCATCAAGGCGCGGCCCACATCGGGCAGAATCACTGCGGCGGAGCTAGAGGAGTTGTTCCAGAGGCAGCAAGGCGACTCCACGGGTGACGCACGTTACTCAGCCATGATGACCACCTCGAGGTTCCAGTCTGGCGGCGACAGCGGCACTCCGACGCCACAAGTATCGCCCCAGAAAGCGCCTCTGGTCTACAGCAGTGTGGCGGACATGAAGCGGAAGAAGAGCCGCCAGGGAGGCGCCGGATCACGCGTCAAGCCATGCTCAATTCCTCTCGTCAATGGCGAACTCCGGCGTAACTTCCACAGCACTCCGGATCTCGCGTCGGCTGGCCAGTGGCCGTCTGGGAGTGTCAAGGGCCATCGCAGCCAGGACGATGTGAATGTGCTCCACAATTCACTGCAGCGTCTCAATCTGCCACCGCCCACGCACCCTCCACCGCCGCCGCCCGTCGGCCAGGTGGTGAAGGTCGACGTCTCGCGGTCGGAGTACGAGAGCGCGGCATCTTTGCAGCAGAAGCTGAAGCTCCAGGCGGCCAAGGAGGCGGAAAATGTTGAGGTCATGTCCAGCTTCAGGCCAGCCGCCAATGCCAAACTGTATGCTTCGCCGCAGGATATCCGCAATGTGGGCTATCGCGGACGTGGAGACGCCAACAGGCGGATGACGACGTCGATTGTGGGACCACAGCCCGTGGGGAATCAGTACGCGCAGCCCTGTCGCTCCCTCTCAAATGCATCCCAAAGGAATCAGCCTGCGCCTCAGGCCGCCTCGAATATCCCGGCGCCACCCATTCCCGATCCCGACTACAGCCTCAGCGAGTCCGACGGCGAGGAAGACAACTCGGTGCTGCAGGCCAGAGTGACGATCAAGACCAACGGAACGGCCAAGGAAGCGCCGCCGACGCAGGCTGAGAGCAGCGGGAACAGCAACACTAGGTGAGTCTCCTTAGCTGATATTCGCTTCCATTTCTCCGTAAACTGTAATGTTTATCTCAATTTGCTTCTCTTCCGCTCTGAGCAAAACTCTTAGGCAAAGTAATTCAATAACTATACAGTGGAAAATACACAAATAGAAGCACAAATTGATATCGATTGCTATGCAAACTATCGAACTAAATTCTCTGTGAGAACACTAAAGTTTCTAGAAATTCTCAAACGAAAACATTCCTGAGCGACAAATGAGAATATTGCAGTGGAAGTTAGAAATGTAAATTTCTTGCAAAACTCAACAACTTCCGTTTGTTTGCAATTACAGCGGAAGCAGCACCGGATCCAGCTCAATGCCGCACTCCTTCTCTGTGGAGGAGATCCAAAAGATGCGCACCAAGCTGAAGTCCTCCAAGTCATATCCGCACGACTTGCTGGGCGGCCAGGCGGCGGTGCAGCAGCCAGTGGCCGAAGAGGGTGACAATTCGTCGTCGGGCGTGAGCAGTGACCAGGAGATCGCTCTCAGTGGGCCGGAGAAGCCCAAGGGTGCTCTGCCGGCGCCTCTGCCCAAGCCCGAGGCCGACGCTGAGGTGCGCAGCGATGACGACGCGAGCCCCAGTCCGCCGGCCAAGGGATTCCAGCGCCACAACAGCCTCACGCGCAAGCAGGCCGCCAGCATTGCCATGAGCCGCGCCCTGCAGACCAAGCCCGCCGTGTCGCTGGCCCAGCTGCCGCCGCCAATCGAGACGGAGTCCGACGATCCTGACTGCGCCGTACCGCCGCCCATGCACCTCCTCCACCATCGACACCACATGCACGCCCTGCCGCACGCAGCCCCCGACGACAGCCTGGTCCTGGCGCCGCCGCCGCAATTCTGCGACTCTTTCGACGTCCAGCCCCAGCGCAGCGTGCGAATCGTGGGCGCCGTGCCCAAGGCCGGCAAGATACACATGCAGTAGAGCCCGCCCAAGAGTGACATCAGTCGGGAGGCTTGCGCAGGGCGAAAGTCATTACAATATATGCAATTTCCCATTCATTCCCCCAATTCAAAAGAACCCTCAGGACCTTGATTAACTGTGAAAGCATCCGCAATGAAAGCCAATGCATGTGAAAGCACCTGAAATTAGTAGAAGAGCTTTTTGATGGCGAATTGCGTTTGCCAGAAGATAGCGCGCAATGGCGCAAGCAAGGTTATCTAAAAGAGAAAATCTCGATGCTTCTGCAAATGTGTTCGCTGAAAGGGATTCAATATTGGATACAAAATGCCAGCATGCTTCTGTGGGCGATGTTTGAAACTTTGAAGTACAAAACCATGAGAGTCATTTTCAAGGTCTTTCCATTGAAACTGGGAAACTTGCTTTGAGTTGTCTTTTGAATCCCAGCATTCAGTGGCATTAGGAGCGGCGCAAAAACGGCAGGAAAAACCTTCAAGTATTCTTGAAAGGATATCAAACGGTAAAAGTTCAATAAATCCTGTCTTTGATAAATGATCATTTCACTTAAACTACATTTTTATGCCCTGCAGTGAAAATATTCCTCTGCAAGGGCTTATTTTCTCTCTACTATTGGCTTAATTAAAGACATTCAATTTATTTTCAACACATTGATTAATGATCTTGAATACAGAAAATTTGAAGGTTTTGTTTTGCTCATTGTAATTGAAATGGAAAACTAACGCCTGCAGAAAGTAGTCAAAAATGTACGATATTTCATCACTTTATTTGATCCCTTTGTGCATTGAAGTGTTAGGAAAAGTTAATCAGAGAAAAATTCGTCAATTTCATGCATTAACATGCGATGTATTTAATATCTTTAGCTTCTGCGAACACGAGCCTTTTCAACTGACTGAGCATTCCTGGGGACAGAAAATCCCTTCCGGCAATTAGATAATGTTGCAGATATATTGGAAAATGTGTCTAAATATTAGTCATTGAAGATGTTCACTCACATTCACCTTCGCATTCACGGAAAAGAGAGAAAAAATATCGATACACATTAGACTTAATACAGAGATATTTCTGGGGGAGGGAAAAAGTACAGCGCATAAGAAGTGGAAAGAAAAGTCGCTCATGAGAGGATAAGACGATGACAGAGGAGGTAGAGGAAAAATTTATACCCGTCTTAGGAGTAGATAGAAATGCACGAAATAGTTTTTTTCCACGAGACAAGAAAGTATTCTCGGAGTTAGAAAAATTTTTGCTCAATGAAAATACTTGGCCTCATTGAATTGAATTTGCCCTCCGTTCAACATCACATGCGATGAAAAGGAAAAATATATATCCACATTCACCGGAGCAACGAAGAACTTCGTCACGTTTTATAAGGACTCTTTTTATCCTCTTTCTACAGAATTTTTCACCAGACATTCGGCAACAAAAAAAGACCTAAATACACACGATTTTTTCGATACAAATGGCAAATCCATAAAACTGATATTTCACTTTGATAGTGTGTGTAGTTGATAGAAGATTTCGAAGGTGGGGAATTAATGGAAATTCTTTGCTATATTTATACCTTTGCAGGAGATTTTCAGTTTTTTATATTATATATAAAAGATGACTAGAGACAAATTAGTAATTTAAATGAGAGGCATGATGAAAAGTATGTAACACTGAATATTAACAAGATTGATATAGATGTTTTTTTTTCATTCATTCATTCATTAGGACAAATTATCTATAATACTATCGTATAAATTTCTTGGTATTATTTTGTAATTTTGTGATATAAAATTAATTCAATTTATGCAATTCTTTCGAAAATAAATAAACATCATTAGTTATTGACTTTTGTAGATCCTAAGTTTGCTCATAAGTTTATTTATAAATGCAGTAAGAAAAGACAAGATGAGTGAAGAAAATTCAAGTGTGGAAGAAAGCAAAATAAAAATTATACAATTACACTATCTACTGTTAAATGAATTATTATCAGTACGTAAAGTATAATTAAAATATAACAATTTTGAAGACAGTGAAAGAAAAAAGTAACATTGCAAGAATAAATTCAATTTAAAACATTAAAGGTGGCATTTGTACTTCGACTCATCATCGGAGTCACTCTTTGGTCACACCCAATTTTCCACATTCTCCCCCTGCTGATGTTGGCCAGCGGAAGAGGGTGGGGAAAATGACTAAAATACTTTCCAAGGATTTTCGGTCATTAGCAGCGCATTAAAGTGGGCGACAATTACCATTTTGCGGCAAAATTATATCGTTTATATTGGGAAGATTCATAATTGCTCTGATGAGACCAATTACTGCATTTATTAGCTTCAGAGAAGTTGAATATTACAATTAAATCCCAAAGCTTTTTCCCTCTTCTTGACTCGCGACGTCGCGAGGGCACAAATTGCGTGATGAGGTAAATTTTTAATACCCATCTTTCAATCGCGAGTTACAAGTTGGGAGGACAAAAGCATTCCCAGCATCATTAAGAGTGACATAATTGAATCAATAATCGGATAATTGAGAGCAGTCATCAGCTTTTCCGTGGCAAATGCGCTGAGTTGCCCAATGATTGAGTGGCTTCTTCATGTCCCGTGGCCGATTCCATCGAGCCTGGCAGCTCAGGAAGACCGATTAGTGTGTCGGGGCGCAGCTTAAGGGATTACTTCTGGCAATTGAGACTCGAGTAGCATCGCACTCTGAGTCCGACTCTGATCGCTTTCCCCTTGTGCGAGAACTTTCCCAAGAGAGAGCGGAAAGCTCTCACTGGAGACAGCAATTACAATGGAAAGAGTTATTATTGCTTATCATCGCTATGCAGAGCGAAACTGAGAGAGCACAAAATATCTTAGAACGACTGAGAGAGAAAATACAGTGACCAGAGCGTGAATAAGGACAGCTTGTCCTTATCGCACAAACCTGTAGAAATCCTTTAGGGATCTTTAAAGCTAAATCCTTCTTCCCAAAAGGCCGAGCAGACGCCAGACGCGTCCTGCAGTATTCCATGAAGAATCCCATCCTAATCGTCCATTCCATTCAAAGAGTTAATAAATATCATACAAATGCTAAGCCGATAAACCGCAGCGATAAAAATAATATCTGACATTCTAAAGAGCTTGCAGAGTATCCAGTGTGTTCCTATTCCAACGAACGCTACTGTGCGCTCAAGAAAACCAGGGCTTAGTGAATTACAAAGAGACTTCACTGTCGCTTGCACGTTGAAACAGGGGACTCTCCAGCAGTGCTGCGTGACTGAGCGTGCGAGAGACGACGGCCAAGCAGCTGAAAGCCCCCGGAGCCTCCCCAGATGCCTTCGACTGGCAGACGGGCTGCCGTCTTCTTGAGGAGAGCGCCTGAGAGTCTCTCTCTCTCTCTCTCTCGAGCATCCCGACGCTCCCCTCTCGAACCCCTAAAACGTAGAGCAACAAATCGCCGTGAGAGCGAGAGAATCACCGCCCCTGCGAGTGGTTCGGCAATGTTTTGCCAAGCTTTAAATTTCAGGCTCCAACAGTTTTCCCCGGGCCTTCCACAGCACCATTTGTGTGTGTCTGTGCCGTGCAGAGATTTTTCCTCTGAGCGCCTTTTGTCCATACACTTTCTGTGCGTTGTGTGTGCCTTCTCGCCCTTGTTATTGGTTTTTTTTTTGGTGGGAGGGACGCAATCTCTGGGCTTTCGCCCTTGTTAACAGGCCAGCAACCCGTCACTTCGCGCCGCATAGCGTGATAGTCCTCACCTGGTCTTTAAAGGGGAGCCCATCGGATTCAACAGGACAGAGAGTCACCCTTCATGACTTGTCCCTTTTCTCCCATGCCAACACGCTGAATGCGAAATTAATTTTCCCTCCCAGAACTCCACATTTTGCCATCCCCTCATGCAAAGTCACAAACAGAAATATTCTCTCAGTGACAAATACAAGCATTTGCCTGTGTCATTCGCAAGTGAATTATTTATTTTCAATATCTCTCTACGACGTTGTGGTTTAGCAAAAAAAAAGAGAGAGAGAAACGCAAGTCAAAACAACTTCTTCATCCGCTGGGAAATCGGGAGCAATTTTCAAGAGCAATTTCACATCAATTCTCCCCACGAATTATCCTACAAATTCGTCCCACGGCACAAAATTCATGGAAAAGTGAATATAATTAACGACACACGGGGATATTCTCACTCAATCCTCTCTAACCATGGTTTAATAATTTAACCCCATCCTCATGAGGACACAAATTCCACCCCCGCGTGCGCTAATCCTCGCCACATTCAATTGCAGTGCTTTGAATAGCCCCCACAAAGCGGATCCCGACATTGGGCTCTGCCAGGAGTGTTTGAGAGTAAAAAAAAAAAAGTGAAAATGAAAGGACGACACCTGAGACGACGATTTAGTCTTCAGCCGTCTTTCATGAAGGACGACTGCGAAGACAGCAAGCACAGGAGAGACAAGTAAGATGAGCCTCATTCCTCGCCAAGTCAGAGCGATTCACACTGTGACTGCAGAGAAAACGTGTCAACCGTATTTTAATATAAATAATTCCTTCCGCACAAATGCGAAGCAGTGTGACTTTTACAAAGCATACTTATCATATTTCAAATGTTACACAGGAGTCTCTTGAAATTAATAGCATCTCTTTGGATCTCAATCACAATAAGAAATCACAAAGTCACAATGATAACAACTGGCTTTGACCGCATTTTTACTTGTCAATTGAAGGTTTTCGCCAATAAAATGGTGACAACTGCAGAGATAGAAAGTGTGTAATGCTGAGAAGAAGAACATACTCTTAAACCACAAAAGCCTCTTTTTATTGCAGACAACTTGGCACTTGTTTTCGACAGTCAGTAAAGTGATAAGATAATTGAGAGGTTAGCAAGAGTAATACAACACGTAGAGCAACACAAGATGGCTAAAGAGATTTAGAATAAGTCATTTTACTTTTCATAGCATTTTTTCTGACGGTCTTTAAGTTAGATTTCACAAGTGGGCGGAACATACAAGTGGGCGTGGCTTTTCCCTTTTGTCCCTTTTCACACAGCTTATCAGTACATTTTCCAAATCACGGCGCTCAGCTGATGGCCCAAGCTCTCTGGATGTCCATAAAACACTTCCCTTCTACAGAAGCATGGAAAATATATGGTACACAGGCGATTTCCCTAAATAGAAGTCTATCAGCTTTTTTTTGGTCTCCCATTGAGTGTGGAGAAAAATCCCTCCTAAACAAGTGGAAAGGCAAACAAAAACCCCCCACACTATATATTGTCTCAAAATATCAGTGGAAAACATCCGCAAGAGTGTCCTTGTCATAAAACACTCTCTCACTGAAACAATCAATGGCTCATAGTTTTGCCATATTCCATCGCACCCAAAACATCGAGCTTCCACACTTTCAGGGTGATCCTGAACATTGGGTGCCCGATTATAAAATCACCCTCACTTTGTGGGCAAAAAAAGGCAAACGAGCCACCCTCTTTCGCATTTGAATGTTGTGGATTTCGCATTTCTCCCCTGCCCTGGCTCGGAAAAGTTCTTGTGTCGCTCCCATCCTCGTGAGGATTGATGGCTCAAAGACGAGGCCCTGAGAACAATCTCAGAATGGGTGCGTGTGTGTCTGAATTAATGGCAGAGCCGCCAAGGGAGTCGCAGAATACACAAGAGACGACAGTTGGAGGCAAAAAATGGCCATAAAACTAATTAAATTAATTAAAATATTCACAAGTATGAATTTGAGAGTCCTCCTCAAATAGGGAAGGCTTTCCCAACGGCACACCGTACGCCCGCTCAGGATTGTTGTGTGTATTTTGCCATATTTTCCACGTGGAAAATTGGGCGCAAAGGGCGAATATTTATTGCCATCGATTGAGGTTACAAATCAAAATTAAGTACACCAATTTAGACCTCTTATTTCCATTCTACATATATGTATATCCTGCAATTTGTCATATTAAATGAGAAATAATCGCATGTAATTTATATTACACACTAAATCTCATGTGAATTGGCTTCAAATTTAATTATACAATGAACACACAATGAAAATGCAATCATCAGAGACTATGAATTTACTAGATACTTTCCTCCAGCACACTAACTTTCCCACTCAGTTGTGTAAGTATACTTTGCAAATGTTCCGGGAACTTTGGGGCAAATTTGAATCTCAAGCAGTTCAAATTGCAAACCCCAATCAAGGAGTTGCATCGTACAGAAGCTGCAAATACACATAGCTAATAATAGCTCAGACTATGCCAAAGAGAAAACTAGATCAATACGATTCGTTCACCTCCGGTTTAAAGTCAAGTGTTGCAATTGAATAAACATAATTTGCTCCGTATCTTAAGCATTTATACAGTGCGCTAACGAACAGCGTCATTTGAAAAACTTTTAACAAGTTCTATAAATTACCACAATCAAGTTGAAAACTGTCGACTCTGTGAATCTCATTGTGGAGGGAGAGAGAAAATATGTCCCTGGAAATCTTTTTCATATTGACAGTCCGATTGACAATTGATAAAAGTTTATCAATTTTCCACACTTCACTCAGGATCATTCAAATGATTTTGTGTACAGTTGACAAGGCAGTGTGGATGACTAATTAGAAATTCCGCTCACATTGAGATTGATAGACATGTCAAAAAGCACCGCAATGGATCCTTTCATGGTCGCAAAAGTGCCAACTTGGCAATTTTCAACACTTGACGACAATCCCTAAAACTCACACACACACTCGTTCAAGTGTGGGATGGCAGAAGAAAAAGTGTGTGTCTTTTGACGAGTGCCTATTGACCTGACCGGAAATTGATTTTGATGACCTTTTTCTCCCATTGAGAGTGTCCAATTTCAACTACACTTCTACCCAGGGTCCATCGACACGATACGGAAGACTCAATTGGCTCGTCCAACGTCCGCCACAAGATCGTCGTGATGGGCGCGGCAAAGGTGGGCAAGAGTTCCCTCATCAACCAGTTTCTCTACAACAAATTCACCCCAAAGTACAAGAGAACCGTGGAGGAAATGCACCAGGGGAACTTCTCTGTCTCCGGCGTGGGACTCACGCTGGACATCCTCGACACATCCGGAGCTAATGAGGTGAGGAGGCAAATACGGGATTGGGGGGCCACATGAGCCTGAAGGATATTCATATTGGAAGCAATAGACATATTAGCTGACTGTCCTATAATATTCTATTGAATTTTGACCGACAGTCGCGGGATTATCGATGAAATTTTAGATATTAATTGAAAGAAAAATCATTGGAATGTCTGCAATCGTTTGGTCTGTTATTTAATTACAAATCAGGCAATAGAAATGCAATTTTGTCCTTTTGATAAAATAATCTAATTTTTCATTTTACGCATAAAAGTTTCACAACGCGGAGAAAATGATGTTTTTAACCCAGAGAAGAAACAACTAAATTACAAATGACCCAAGAATCATTCATCAAGTTTGAGCGAACCTTCCTATTTCCATGATTAATCGTCATCTGTGTGAAACTTAGAGTAGCGTCGCTACAGCTAATTACCGGCCACAGTGGCCCCCGCCCTCCCCTAGGCTGCTCATTACCGTGTCACTTGAATTTGCACAGTTTCCGGCCATGCGGGCGCTCTCCATTCAATCAGCCGACGCCTTCATCCTCGTGTACGACGTCACGGATGCCAACAGTTTCTGCGAACTGAAGCTGCTGAGGGACCAAATCCACGAGACAAAGGCCACGTCTTCCGTGCCAATTGTGGTGGTGGGAAACAAGACGGACCTCCTGATTGAGGACAGCGATCGCCGCGAGGTGAGACCGAGAAATCCTGCCCATATTGCCTTATGTCGCCCACCTTTTCTCGTCCACAAATCCCCCCCACAAAATATCACCACGATATTGCCAAAGCCTCATCCAGGGATATCAGAGATTATCGATTCGCCACTAAGCCTCAATATTGGGCAAAACAACTCCACATCGAGATTCCATTCTGGACAAAATGCCACGGCATGCGAAGGTGTTGTCACGCGTATTTGGTGTGCATTAGTTGGGCCACAAAATACGACTATTTGATTTTGCCCGAAAAATCCTCTACTCGGAAATCTGTTCAATTAAATTCATCATGTATTTCCATTAAGTCCCTTTCCATGCCCATGCTTTTCAGCTTTTCCCAACCAAAATTCCATGAGAATAAAATAATAAATTTATGCACTTATGAAATATTTTACCATCGAATATTAGAGTGGTTTAAAGCGCTCTTTGTGGCAAAAATGGAGATTTTCACAGAACATTAAAAATTTAATTGAAAACATTTTGCTTTAACCTATTTTGCTTAATTAATGTATTTATAGGCGTTTTTCCTGCTAAACGTCAAATTGTAGTCACCGATACCAGTGATAGATGCTCAATTTCCAGGAAAATTCAAAGCTCTCACTCATTCTCTCTTGCTCACAATCACACTTATTATTCACACTAAGTGTAATAGAGTTTGCAATGCAAATTCCAGTGAAAAGCACCGGCATTTCTTTGAGCTGAAGTGCGTGAATTATTGGCCCCTCGGAGCGCACATGAATGAATTTTGCATAAATCCTCAATGCTGTACTTTTTTTAATATTGTTTTAAGAATTCCTCTGCGTCTCCTTTTATCACAAAAAAAGAAATTCAATAAAATCACAATTGTTCCGAAACGACAATTTCTCTCAGGGTTCGTTTATCTTCAACATTGAAGCTCAACTTTTCCCGATACGGATTCTCGTTCATTTTATTCTCCCTCTTTCTTCACCATTTTGGGAAAGAAAGGGGAAACTTTTTCCACTTTTGCTTTGTGACTTCTTGCTTGAGAGAATGCGAATGAATAAATATATGTGAGAGTAGATTTTCTTGGAAAATAAGGGGATAATATGCACGAAATTAAGCACATAAATTGGTCGAGATAATTTTTTTTTTCTCATATTTAAGCGCAAAAATTACCGGAAAAACCTCTAGAAAATATTCACACAGCAGAAACAAACTTTCAAAACACAGAATTTATGAAGTTTTGGTAAATATATTTTTATGATTAAATATACTTCAAAATCCAGTTGTTTGACAATCACTGGAATTTTCATGGAATATTCATCGCAATATTTTCCCCTTTTGCTCATACTTCTTTTGTGCCATTTGACGTGGATAAATGCCGCGAGAGAGGTTGAATGCTGCGCAGGGTTAATTGAATATATGTGATATTTTTCTGACACTCATTTGCATATTATGTCAGGTATTCCCTTTGATGCAAACGCCCTCAATCATCTGGCTGGCTGTTGAGTTATTCCTTTTGTGCCGCCGGATCACAGAGAGAGAGCAAAAAAAAAGCTGCAATTTCGCTGTGGGTGGTGGTGAAGGAAGGAAGCAGTGAATATGGAACATAATTTAATTAAAAATTCACTGCATTGGAGCTGAATGAGCGCCCCTATTGTGTGGCATTATTCAGTCTCTGTCACTGTGTCATTTGCAAGCTCGCGGCCCGGGAAAGGGTAAACAATCAACAGGGGTAGAATTGTCGTGTTGAAAGTAGGCGGGCAAGAGACAATTGAAAAGTGGTTTGAGCCTGTTCGATCGACTCGTGTTGGTTCAAATGAAATTTGCGGGTGAGAATTGTTGCACAGATGAGTCGAAGAGTTGCGGCGCTTTTCCAATAAATGATTCACAAGTGTGTGTGTGTGTGTATGTGATTTGAGAGGTTCTGGCAAATGATATGCAATTCAATAAGCTCCCGAACTACATACATACAAACAGTAACTTTCCTCCGTGTGGGCCGCAAATTGATTCTGCGACAATTTTCCCAACCGCACAATTGCGGCGAGACGCCGTGAAACAAAGAGAGAGAGTGTGAGTGAAGTTTGCTTCGCCAAATGAAATTAGCAGCATTGAAGGAATAATTAGAAAACCACACAAAGTACAATTTTCTCCCCATTTCCGCCTTTGGCACTCTGTGCGCCGCACAAAAGAAAAACCCACCCAAACTCCCAGAGTCATATCAGATCAACATGTAAAAAGGCGCCGCAAGAGCATGAAAAGCGTCTGTGGTGAATTTTTCCACCGTATCCAAACCATGAGCACCAAATAGAAAATCATATTAAAATGCTACCAAGGCAGAAAATTGATTTAAAATCACTAAAACGATTTGCACACCCGCGAATGTGCACACAGACTCTTTTGCCGTACATCGTCTCGATCCCGACGGGGGAAAAAAAAGGAATAATATAATAATATTGGAGAAATTACGATTGTCGAGACCAAATTAATTCCGTGACAATTTGCAGAATTCAATCAAAATTGAATATTAATTGAGTTCTCAGGAAGGAATTATCGCGTGTCTTTTTCTCCGTCTGGTGAATGAAGTGCTGGGGAAAACTTTAAGCTCCTTAATGGAGTCCTTAATGAATGCATGAGATACAATGTATAATGAAACCTTGGGATGGGAAGAAAGGATGAATGAAGATACAATGAGAGATTCATTCATCAGGCCGTCAACACACTTTTCTTTCATGTCTGTGAAACATGAAATGCTTAGACAACTGCAAATTGTCTGTCTGCGTGTATAAAATCAGGGCGGAATTGTGCACGCGGAGTAGTGTACTTCCGCTTCCGACAGTATCGCAGCAAATTTGCAGTTTAAATCAAATTATTGCGATCCATTCAGAATGTGAGATATTCAAATTTCACAGTGATCATGTGAAATACATTAAATTGGCCAAGACAGAAATCAAGTTGCTTGAAAACCGTTAGTGTTTGAATTGGAGAATGTGAACAAAGAAAATACACTATCTGAAAATGTGTTTAAAAATTGCAAAAGAACAAACCTTAAGAATCCTTTGTGTAATGAAAGAAAATTCAAGCACAATAAAATTTCGGTGTACATTTTCAACTTCACTACATTTCCCATTGTAATACTTTTGAGATTTAACCCTTAAGCATACTTAGAAGGGATTAAAAGAAGGATTCAAAAGAAACTCCACTGAAATGAAAACCAATTTAATGAAGAAATGAAAATCTCCACAATCCGCTCACCGTCAATTCACCCCTTTTTTCTTTTGACATTCGCTCAACTACATGCGATTTCACGTGAATCATCACAACAAGCATGTTTTTTTTTCACACTTCCTCCAACGTGAGGAAAGTCTATTTGATAAAGTGTTTCCTCTGTCACAATCACAATCAGCGACTGAGTGTGAAAATGTGTCAGAAAAAGTCCCTTCTCCGCAGAACTTTTGCCACACTTGCTCGTGTGCATTATTAATCCCCCGTTCTCATTACGTTATTTTAGATGAATCGGGAAAACACGGAGAATGTGGTGACGATGGATTGGGAGAATGGATATATTGAGTGCTCAGCGAAAGACAATGAGAATGTCACTGAGGTGAGCGCATTAAAGTCAGCAATTAAGGGGTTTTTCTCCACTCACCTCTCTATCTCCCACATTGAAGATCTTCAAGGAGTTGCTGGTGCAGGCGAAGATCACGTACAATCTCAGTCCGGCTCTTCGTCGGCGGCGTCGTCAGTCGCTGCCTCCGCCGCAGCCCGGCGGCTCGTCCTCTGGCGGCCCTCCTGGCACGCCGCAGAGTCTGCCGCCGTCGACTTCCCACGTGCCATCGCCAGCTCAGCTGCAGCACCTGCAGCAGATCCAGGCGCGCTCAATAGGCGGCAAGAGGAACTCCTGCATCTTGTCTTAATCCCCCAGCTGAGTCACTGGTAATCAATCGATTTCCAGCCACCGCAGATTGTAAAGCTGCTCGACTCAATTCATAATGAAATGATTAAGAATTCATTCGACGGAAAATTATTGCAAACAATGATGAATTATTCAAATATTGATAACCGGTAGATTTTCCGCAAACACACACACACTCACCATTTTCCCATCCCTTTTCCCAGTGCTGTGTGAGCTTCCGTTCGGGCGGAGAGACGTTAGATAAAAGCCGTGGGATGGAAAAACAAAACCGGGGAGAACAAAAAGCCTGGCGAAGTAACCAAAAATTAACATTAAAATAAATTTAGAAGATTGCGAGAGGAGAAAAAAAAATGAATTAAAATATACTTTAATTGGTGTCAATTGGACTGCTTTTCTTCATGCATAAAAAAAACAAATAGAGGAAGATAGAGAAAAAAAAGTGTGTATAAAAATATAAAGAAAGCGAGATGTGTTTTTAGGATAAGCAAAACGCTAAAATCAAAAGATAATAAATTGATCTTCAACCCCAAAAAAAAATTGTGAGGGAAAACGTGTTCCTGTTTTCCCAGGTCTTAAGCAGAAGCGCGCCTCATGTTGAAGAGTGAAACCCTTCATGACAGAGAGAAGACGGCAAAATCACTTCCACCGAATCCCTTGTGGGAACCACAAAGTTTCCACCGTGAGCTTTTCCTCAATGGAAACCCCTTTGAGAAATACAATATTTATCTATACAACTTTTTCCCCAGTAGAAATGTGGACAAACTCTAATCTGTATGACGTAATGAAGTGTATAATAAATGTTTCTATGTGGCTGATAGGCGTAGTAATGGAGATAATATGAACTTAGCTGTTTAAAGGAAAAAAAAAGAAGAAAAACTTGTGAAGATATTTTACATAATGTGACAATCATTATTCTACCCCCCTTTTTTCGAGAGGTATTTTTGTGCATATAAATAGAGAACAGATAAATAGTGAAAAATGTGTAGCAAAGTAATAAAGAAAGAGGATGTGAAACTAAAAATACAGAATATCTATTTATGGTAGGGAAATTTGCAAGGAGAAAAAAGCCCACTTTGAGGGAGTCAAAATTTTCTTTTGCACACACACAGAGAGGCACTCAATAACATGAGCTAAGTAAAGTGTATTCTGTAGATGAAATACCATGAAAAATAACACATACGGGTTAAGTCAGTGTACTTAAGGGACTTTTGAAGTATGAGATATAAATTTTACGATGATTGTAGATTAGCAAATGGTTGAAGCATGTCAGCAGAGTGAAGAATTTGCATTCTCCCTCACACACACAAGACTTCCATTCAACACAGTGTCTGTATTTGACAAAAAAGAACTCTGATATTTATTCTTTGTCGTTATTTTTCATTGTCTCCTTACAACTATTTACTTAAAATACAAGTTTGAGAAAGGAGAAAACTCCATTCCCTGCTCCAAGTGTGTCTCCATGAGACGCACATCATTACTTTTAGTAATATTCTCTGTAATCATTCCTTTCTTCACTCTGTCTCTCTCTCTAAACGTGAACCATTGACAAGGATAATCAATATTCCTCTCCTTTCAAAAAGATGTCTAAGAATATTGCAGAAAAATATTGTAAAATCCCCATTCATCTCCAAACATCTTTCCACACCGCAACATTGTCACACACTTAATGCCATTGATAACCATTTGATAGGGGACAAGAAAAACTGCAATAATTCCCTCTTTCATTCTCTCTCTCTCTCTCTCTCTTTTGTGTCTGCCTGGCGAGAGATTTTCCATTCAAATTCGCACAGATTCCAAAATAAATTCCAAGACAAATCTCCTATGCTAGCAGAAATATTTCAAATGTCATGCGAAAACTCCTCCTGATTAATTAGTTTTACATCTTTCCATCGCACAATTCTGATTCTGACACTTTTGGCATTGTGTTTTTGTCCTAGCAAATCCCTCTCGTCTCTGTCAAAATCACCCCCCAAAAACATCCCCAGAGACTTTATACACAATAATGTTACTTTAAAATTGGTATGTTTAGATAGTGACTAATGAATATTTAGACTTACGTTGTGTAACAAATAAAAACTGACAATTAGAATCCTTATCAGCTAATGTGCTTTTCTTCTTCTTCCCCTTTAAAACACTTCAGCGGCTTTCGTAGCAAAAAGAAATACATATTTCTTGTATTGGAAACTGTTGGCAGTTTCGCTTTGAATACTATCGAGTTTTGGTAGTTTTTTTTTTGGACAGTGTCTGGCTGAAAAATCGGTGGGAATCCAGCGAAGCCACTCTTAAAGATCCGTATGTAGAACAGGTTGCATTCGTGGTGTTGTGCTGGATGTTTGCTGCTCCTCGCACGTTTCGTCCTCAACTGGAAAGGAAGGCACAAAAGCTCAATTATTTGCATTCTTGGACAGTAGAAAATTTCTATGCACTTTCAGACCAAGAAGATTGACTCGGAGATGCTTCTGAGAACCATTAAATCCTCAATTCTTGGAAATTCACCTTAACAGTTTATAAATCTAAAGCTGATAGTGGATAAAAATTCATGAATTTCTCAGAACTTGTTACCAATGTTGCTTTTGAACATTAAAGTGAATGAAAATCTTTACATTTCAACGATTTTATAACATCAGAAAGATATTTTCTAAGTCAATTTCCATCCTGATCAACAATCAAATTGCGTAGAATACATCGAATGCACAGGAATTCATGAATTCCAATGACAAATGGCATAATTTTGCATATGCGAACATGTTTTACATTCCCCTTGTGAGTCAATTTCCAGCTGAATTGCATAGAAATAGAGCACATTTCGCTACCTGGCGGCGATTGCTGCACGCTTCCCGCTCTTGTGTCCTTCCTCTGTGGCGCTTGGTGGGTCTGCGTGGTGGCAGCGCCGCGCGATGTGGATCCCAGCCTCTCCAGCACGCTGTTCCTGCTTCTGCCGAACTTGGCGAAGAAGCTGTTCTCGATCTGCAGCTGGGCATTGGCCGTCTTCGCGGCGGCACAAGTGCACGCCTTGAGGAAGCTCTTCTTAAAATTGTCACTCAGGAAGGCGTACAAGATGGGATTCATGGCGGAGTTTGAGTAGCCCAGGCAGCCGACCAGCACGAAGATGGTGATCTCGAGGCGAGACTTGCACACCACCGGCGGCGAGTAGATCATGGAGATTTGCAGCACCCAGTAGGGCAGCCAGCAGCCCACGTAAGCTGTGTGTGTGTGAAGTTTATGAAAGAAAAATGAATGTAATCCTCCTCCTTCTCGCCCTAAATTCCCATTCCATCGTCTGGTCGCACCAAATCCGACATTTGACTGACAAATACAATTTTCCAGGCAAATTGATTGCAGATAAATCACACAATTGGAGTCCTTCTTCTTCTCTTTTTCCCGTGATTTTTTTTCTCATCACTGCAAATCCTCAGGAGAAAGTCACCTTCTCAAGTGCCTCTCTTTTGCAACACTCTTGAGGCTTCAAGAACACGCTCTTCGCATCATTTTGGGGAGGACATTATTAAATTTCATGTTGACTTTAATCACTGTTCCGCAGCTTTTTTGCCTCTCCTTCTCCCACATAATTAAATCTATACGCAACATAAAATATCACAGCTGTGAGCATTAATTTTGCAGCAATCTTTGTATCTCAAATTTGCCATTTGCAACAAAGAACTTGTAACACAACATAAATACACGTGTAGGAGAGTTCAACGAGTAAATAATCCCCTCCTTTTGATAAACTAAATATTCCCGGTGAATTGAAAAAGAGTATTTTCATGGTAAATTAATTAGATTTCCCAGAGCTTCTCGCAAAAGTTTTAAAGCACATCAAAGGGGAGAATCCACTTTATGCCCTGCGGTGGTAATTTTTCCATTATACCCTCTCCTCGAGCACGAGTGTGCCAGGGAAAGTTTTCAACAAATGCAATATCGCATTGTTTAATGCAGTTTTGTCTGGTAAATAATACTCTCGCTCACTATCTCTGGATGTGTGCGAAGCGCAGAAAAAAATGATTCAAATGAGATTCACTGATGGTTGGAAATGGGATATTTATTAAAAGTTCAACAATGATACTCAGATTGCAGCTCAACTCCATTAAATCCCTCCCAATTCCCTGAGCACGTCATTTTAAATTCAACGACTCTGCTCATTTCAATTTCCATACAGCTCTTTCTCGTCCATCTTCGCGCGCGTGTTGTCAATGCCCTCAAGAATTGCGGCCGAAAAATTAATTGTGCGCAAGATATTCCCAACCCTCATCCCCATTTCCACACAGAAAAAGGGTTGCCCGTGAGGTGTGCCCAGAGAGCGAAAAGGTTCATCGCTATTTGATATTATCATAGCCAAACAAAACACCTTTTCCCCAAAACTCGTCAAAGCAGAAAGAGCCCCCAGAAAAGTGTGTTATGCAAAGTAGTGAAGAACCGAGAGAAATCGACAGTCTATTTTGAATATTAAAGGGAAATTTTGTGACTTTAACCGTGATAGAATTGTCTCTATTTTCACCATGAAACATCCTCGATTGAGCTTCATTCCAGCAGAACAACTTCTATTTGACTTTCGCCAGCAAACAAATGGGCGTCGAGTATTTTTTCAACCCACCCACAAGGCCAAAAGGATGTTTAGCGGAAAATTCACGGGGCGCCAAACTGTTTCAATGATTATCGTGATTTTTCACAAATGAAGTCAATTTCGTGCAATTAGTGTTGCTAGAATATTTTCACCAAATGAAGCACAAAGAAGTGCTGAATGCAGTGTAAAGCATTGTGCAGCTTATTAGGTGTCACGCCCACTCGAATACTCCGCCCCAAAATATTGAGGTGTTCAAGATAACTACATTGACGAATGTGTCTCTATAGTTGATATTATTACGCGCAACTCTTCTCTGATCAATTGCACGCCCCCTCGACGAGAGACACCCATTGTTGGATAATTGCGAGTCGGAATCGGTAAGCCTGGGGGGATTTTGGCGGGTGATTTTGTGTTGTTGTCTTGCGATAGTCCTCGAGGAAATGTGCAGAAATTAAAAGGAAATATTTGAGAGTGATTTCAGTGGGAAAGCCCCAAGAATTCCACTCTGATCTCCGCACATTTTTCTCCCTTTTCCCCCTCCCCAACCCACCTAGAACTTGCGGAGGGACATTTGTGGCTGTGGCGTCGCCAACCTCGTGCCAGGGGGTTGAGGAATTAATTCTCGCATGTCACACCACCGCAGAGAGAGAGAGAGAGATAATAGTATGTGGAGAGTTCATTCACCTGTGATGACGGTCAGCACCAGCTTGGTCACTTTGCGGTGCGAGCGCCTCTTCTCCTTGGACTTGCTCTTCGGCCCCACCGTCTGCAACTTCCGGATGACGAGATAGTAGAAGCTGAGGATGAGACACAGCGGAATGGCGAAGCCCAGCATGAATGAGTACAGCGTGAATGTCGTGCCAGAGCGCACTTCCGCCTCCTCCGGCCAGTCAATTATGCAGGATACCTGGAAGATTTCGCGTGTACAATTAGGACTACCGCCTTGAGTATTTCCACAACATAAAGCACAATTTCCAATTACGACTCTCTTGCGAACTTCCCACGGATGACTGTTATGTGGAATTCGGTTTGTGTGTGTGCGCTTGAAAACCCTTTCAGCATTTTATATATCCTTTTGAATGTGTGAGCACTACGCTCAGGAGAAGACACACTGAAGCAGATTTACAAGATATCCCTCTTATACTGAGTACGTTATCACTAAAAGAGCTCTCGACGAGATGATGGATATGTGCTCAACTAAAGTGACTTCACACAAAATTCACCTACACACACAGACTTTAAAAAGACACAACATTTGTGGGTGATTCGCATAAAAATCCGTATTCTTATAATTTATACCACTACGGGCTGTTATAATCTGTTATAAAACATACTTTACTAGGTCAATTACATGTGAAATAAGATCCAGATTGTAAAATCTCAGTTCACGTCGCGACTATAAAAAGACAGAATGTCCAAATGACTTCAACTTTCCACCCATTTGAGTTAAGACCACCCAGACGTTCGCCCAAATGAGGGAGTAATTTACGATTGTCTCGCATGTTTAAATTTTCGCCATGCAGTCGACAGAAAAGGGATTTTTATGGGCAAAATGACCTAAATGACTATGAGAAATGCTCACACTTTTGCTAATTATTGGCCACAATAATTCAAACTTAATTCACCCTCAGAGAGACACCATAAAAAAGAAGCGAGCAACACTCGGATATTTTTGACGGTCGTAAAAAAAAAATCCCGTAAAAGCGGGATGAAATGAGGCCAGGAAGAGTTTTGCTATGAATATTTTTCCTCATATTCTCAAAATATATGTACAAACAACTAATGAAAGACTAAAATGGGAAAACTTTCCAGTCAAATCCCTTGTGATTGACTTCAACCGCCAAAGTTTCCATCCGAGCTTATGGCGAGAGTGTCGAGGAAGTCTGAAGAACCCATCAGTTTGTGTGCAAGATGGCCAAGACAAGTTGAAGAAAAGTTGCCATATATTGTGCATTATTGATTTTTCCTTGCTATTTGCAACATATTAACTATTAACTGTCGGCATAAACACATGCACATATTAATTGCTATTGGAAATGATTATTGAGTAAAAGCCACTGTTGCATGAAATATTAAACAGAATATGAGTTAATTAGTTTATAGTCAATTATAACATGTTTGCATGAATTGATATTAATTCCGAACTTTCCAAACAAAGCCTCCACGTGGCCATTCATTGGATATTAAAGTAGCCTCATCTCCACACTCTCACCACTGTGCTGCGCGCATAATATTTTCCACCGTTTAAGCTCTCTTAAAGGCGCATCACAGGAAAGCGTGCAGGAAATTCGCATAAGGAAAGTTTTTCTTTTTTTTTTCTCTCTCTCTCTCTCTAAAGTTTCTCCACCATCTGTCGTGGGCAGTAAAATAAAAAAAAAAAAGAGCAACTCACAAATCTCGAGATATACACTTTTTTTTCTCTTCTTCATCCCGAAAAGAAAAAAAAAACTCCCTTAAAACCACCACAACTTAAATCCTCACTCCATCTCATGTCAAGTGAAATATTCACCCCCGGGGAATCTCTCGTCGCACTCTGTGCGTTGTACATTGAGGCATATTTGCCGCACAACATAAATTCCCCAGAAGACTACAATTCGAGGGACTGTAGAGAATGCGCGTAATCAATCGAGGGAATCAAACAAATGGGGACAAGCCGCCCGTGGGCGTGAGAGGGTGGCATTCCTTGGCTGTTTGTCGACAGAATTCCCACGTGAGAAATCTCAATTTATTCACGATGGAATGGCGCATGGAATTTCCCATCGTATCGCATCATGATTCATCATTACACCGCGTGTGATGAAAATCCCCAGCGCCTCTGATCGGCAGAGCACACAATGCAGAAATATGCAATATTTGTTTCCCCCCCCCCCCCCAAACACACGAAAGCCCTACAAAAAGCTCCACAAAAGCGCATTGTCACTGTGGATCCAATTCGCGGAATTGCGTATGTTTAACGCCCCAAGCTGTGATGCTGTTACGCAAACATCCACAATAAGGGGCATTAAAATTGCAAATACTTCCAACAACACGACAATCAAAATGTCCTCTGCTGAAATGGGAATAATTCTTATCATCAAAAATTGCAGCGAGTGAAAGGAAACAGATAGTAATCGTATTAATTGCATTTTCACATCACTTCTCGCTACCGAATCAAATTATCTAGAGACTTTTCTCTTCTTTCAGCTTCTACAATATTAAGATAATGTAATGAAAAAGACAGTAGAAAAGTTTCCATTCTATTTAGCATAAGGAGAATTGGTATTTTGTGTTTTTTTACATTGGAATTTGAATTTTTTTAAAATCCTACAAATGGAAAATCAGCGAAATTATTGAAGCATTCCATTAAAGTGACAGCTAAACTAATTTCTAGACGTTAGAAAATGATTTTCTTTGTTTTCTAGCTCTTTAGTGCGCTTTCAATCCATTGAAAGAATCTTCAATCTTGAGCGAAACTCACCGTTCGGTTCCTGAACGTCTGGGCCGTGTTGGCGTACATCATGATGGGCACCATCGTGAGGGCCGACGTGGCCCAGGCCACGAGGGACACCACTTTGGAGACAAAGGGCGTCCTGTAGCGCGGCGAGGAGATCGGATGGCACACGGCGATATATCGGTCTGCCGACATGATGAAGAGAAAGATGGACGAGGTGAACTGGGTGATGGAAGTGCTGATCATGTAGCCTTTGCAGGCGGCGCTGCCGAACTTCCACTCGCCCACGTACATCGTGGCAATGAGAAAGGGGATGCCGATGAGGAAGCACTCGTCGGCGATGGCCAGATTGAGGATGTACATATTGGTGACGGTCTGCATCTTGGTGAAGCGCACCACCACGTAGATGACCAGCGTGTTGCCGCACAGGCCCACGATGCACACCACAGCGTACAGCAGCATGGACACGACACTGCCCACGGGCATCTGCACTGACGGACAGTGCAAGTGTGCCGGGGTGTCATTGGCGCCCACCCAGACTCCGCCGTCTAGCGTGTCGTTGGGCCACATCACCACGCGGCGTTCCTCCGCCACTCGAGCGCGCCCACGGAGATTTACGATGCGGATTCACGCGCTGCTCGTGGCAACCTGAAAAATGAGCCACATCCATCAACTGTCCCAGAGATAATTGCACAAGTGTGGGTGGTGGAGCCGAAATTCATTATTGACTGCCACAGGCACACACCCAAGCAATATACAGGGGGGCGAGAATCCTGGGGCGGTTCCGGGACAGCGAACACACACACACACACACGCTGACACTAATGATGGGAAAATGAAGTGAGAAAAATATCGTGGCAACTTCTTATATCACCACAATAGAAGAGGAAACAATATAAACAGAGTCATGAAGGGCGGCATGAGGACAACACCGCATTGGCGAACAAGTGGGGGCGAATTTAATTAATTACAAAAATTGGCAGGAAACAGAAAAGGAGAAACTGGGCCACTCTTTCTCTGGGGCACACGAGAAAGAAAAATTGCGACAAGGGTTAAATTAACTTCAATGAAGAGACATTTGAGTGCTTGATGGCCTGAGAGGAAGTCAGGAATTCATCTTCATTATTGGGTGGTTTTTTCGCAGAGAATGAGAATCACTCTCAGAGTTAATTACTTTACAAAGAAATTAAATAGTGCAATCATTGCAAAATTAGTTCCCTCGTCAGCTGACTTCATTTGTCATAGTTTTTGATAAAAATTTTCACATTGATTTTACCATAAAATACCCGCAACTCAAACTCAAGAGATCACTCGACTATTTGTCGATAAAATTTCAATAGCCAAAGTCCTGATTGGGTGTATTAAATCAAGAGACAAAGTGCACAAATGTAATTTACGTACTGCAAACTCAAATAAAGGACTAAAATGTGTTCGAAACAGATAACAAAGTAATAAAATTATCAAACAGTTAATAAAATCAAATTTATTGCCAAAGTTTCGTGGTGGAGTTTTCCGATTACATTGTCTGCACGAGCGAATACTTTGTCACACTGTGAGACATTTCTTTTTCTCCTGGGAATTAAATTAAGTTGTCTGAGAACAGGTGAAAGAGGACAAATTGAAGTGCCTCAATATTTTTTTAATAGTTTTCCTCACTCGTGATTCTTTGTTACATTCTTCTCAGACCCCCAGAATCAAACATAATATAATTACATTGTCATTTGAGATACAAAGAAAAAAAAACAAACTTTTTGCCATGTCATAAATCACGAAGAAAGTTTTGCCAAGTGTGACACTTTTTCAAAATTAGCACTTTTGTTTACCCGAGTCAATTTGAAAGTGTCTCAGTCTGCAGAAGTCTTCGCCAGCGGGAAATTGAATTGAAAAGCACCCACAGTGAGCTTTTGCAGATCTTGACAAAATGGTAACTTTGTCAAATTTAATTAAAGAAAAACTCTCCCTCTATAAACATTTGCTGATGTCCGTCCGAGTGGGTGTGAAAGGATGAGAGATGAAGAGCACTTTGCCATGCGATAACTTTCACTCTTCCATAGTGTGAAAGGAGATTTTAAGTGTGAGATTAAGACAACATAAATTTCAATGAAAATTATCTCGCATCCTACTTTTTCCGCTTTCCACTCAAACACACACACAAGGAAAAAAAAATCCCACAGAAAGGAAAATGGATAAAGGGCAAAAAATTGATATCGCTTTTTTAGATCTTAATTTATGTTCCGCTCTCTTTTTCTCCGTGTTGTTGCTGCTCCTCATGTTAGCTTCCGGACGTTTTCTTTTTTCCGGACGCACACGCGGGGCTGAAGAGTGTCGTGGTGGGCAAAAGAGAAGGAAGAAACTTTCATATCTCGAGAGGATTATTCAAATTTTTTTTTTCCTTTTTTGGGAAAGGCCATAAATTTGAGATTTTGCCAATAGGGTGGAGTGACCTCTGTCGGTGAAATTATTATAATTTCTCAACCATAAACAATTTCCCATTCCTTATACGGCCGAGCAGACCCTCTCTCAATGTCCATTGTACTTTAGAAGTCCTGCGCCAAGACAACACGGATATTGCAATCAACCAGATTAAACAATTTCCTTGAAATTCTCATTCTAGGCATAAAATCTACACAGACTTCTACAAAAACTGAAGATTTATTACTCAATTTCAACTTCAATAATAAATTATGAAGATCCTGATGGTCCCATAAAATTATGGCACTTTATAGGACACTCTGATAATCGCCAATTTGACTGTTTTTTTTTTTTAAATTAACCAAGTGCAATTTTCACATTTTATGCCTCCCAAGATAATCTTTTTCACCACAACTTCACTCTCTGTTCACCACAAATTTCATCCCCAATCTTCTGAAGGAGAAAGATAAAGCGTGTCGCATCAATCGTTTATCCCAATTGAAAGGGTGGGCGTGCGGGAAAGGGACAATTTTTATATTAAACCCCATAAAAAGCGCGTCGCTCTCCTTGCCTTCCCCGTTCGCATTGCACGTCTATTCTCTAGTCGCCCCCCATAAAACATGCCAAATGGGATTTTTTCACCAGCGAGAGCCACAATGAAAGAATGGATGGAAGATTTCCCGTGACTTTTGTGCGCTACATTGGGGGGATATTTTGCAAAGCTCACAAAAAGCGAACCCCAGGGAATTTATCAGACAATTCCCCAACCCGTCGACCCCCCAGTGATCCATCACGCGGCTAAATAATGAGGCTCCAACGTGCGAGGTAAATGGCAAATTTGTTGCAAATAATTAAGGATTCACTGTGGCTTTTCGCTCCGCTCGCACTCGACTTAGTTGCGGGTAGAGAGAATGGCTTTACAGCCTGCCTGCCACCCACAAAAAAAAGAGCTTTGCAGTGTTGGAAATAGCGGCAATTTTCCACTCAAAATCCAACGTGAGAATGAGGCCATTGGTTGTGAGGGTGTGAAAACATTTAATGTATATATTATCATGCACAGTGAAATGATATAAACAGCAATAAAATGTGTTACACGACGATAATATACCGAATATACATTTTTATGTATGAGAAAGATGCAGCGGCAGCAGAGCCACCGAAGAGGCGGCATTAAAATGTGGAATGTCGTGTGAGAATCGTAAAAAAGGGACATCCCGAGGTGAGAGTCGACTGAGGACCGCACCAAGAATTCCGCATACTCCTTCGTGGATTTATGTATAAATATGAATAACCAAGTGAATAACTTTGCGTATCGCGGTTTTTATGGCCCTGAAATCCCACTAGGCTCCGAGGGATAAGAAAGAGTGGCTCACAATGGCAGACCAAAAATATTTAGATGCGGAGAAGACATAAAAGATAAGAGATAAAGTGCCTTGGAATTTAATAAGTAATTTGCAGAGCTGATCAAGAGAATAATAGGAAGGAAGATTAGACTGTGGAACTGAATGCGAAAGAAGCAGCCAGCTATCGCAAGAATGAAAGACGCATTTATCTTTGAAATGATCATGTTTGTCATCAAGCGTCTTCAAACGCAAATCATCTCTTCACTAATTACATTTTCAGCTTCAAATCATTGGAACAGTGCCAGATAGAGTTATGTATTTGAATTTGTTCCTCAAAGAATACACACTAGATAGAAAGGCAGCCAATTTAGGAGAAAAAAGAAGATTTGAGCATGCCTTATCAAAGATACAGATTTCGGAAGAGAATCATTAAATTTTCAAATGGTAACGAGTAAAAAGATAAGGAAGTCAGTAATCCCAGGAGAAGTGTAAAAGCGAATAGGATAAAAACGGACAGCACAGAACGGAGAAAGCGAAGACTGAAGGAAAAAGCAGTACACACCGCCAACTATTAACAAAGAGGAGACAAAGCCTTGGCCGCGGCGACTCGCACCTCTGGCATGTGTGAGAAGCACCTTGTGAGAGTTCCCATAGCAACTTGGAGCTTTCTCATCATACACATTTTATGAATGTGCTTTCAGCGAAACTTTATCCCGTCGCTGCACTGAAACTCCCAAATGGAAGGAGGACAAGCACAAGTGTGGATGGGAGTTGCAATAATAAAATATGAATTAATCGAATGAACCTTTTATGACCATCGCGCGGGAGCTCTTCTGAGGTGTAACCATAAAAAGCGCGAGGGAAATTCACTCGATCGTCTTGGCCTCCTTCTGGGATTGAAAAGTGAAATTTATCCTCACAAATTTTCCACACTCGCACTCGCGATTCGTCGTCATGTGAGTTGTTGTAGTTCATTTGGAATCAATAATACAGAGAGTTGCGGGAGAGAAAGTTCATATCATTCAACCCTCTCTTCCTCCCTTTCTGTGCCAACACCCCACAGATTTGCCCTGACTCATGTGTTGCCTCTCCCATATGACCAAAAATGCCGCGCATCAACCCCAAATATTTGAAAAGGGTTACTTCTCCTTTTTTTTCCCTCGTCCTCCCAGAAAGCTCGCCACTGAATTTACGCGTCCGTGGCAAAAGAAAGTCCCTCACTTAGCCAACAGAAGAAAGAGCTTTCTTCTCCCATATCGCCTTTCTTGTCGTCCATTCTCGACGGTATAATAAATTTCCTTTCAAAGGAGGCGAATTTCCTTTTTGCTCATCGTCTTGTGAGGCAAAAGTGAAAGCGATTTTTGTCTATCATCCACATCACATCGAATAGAAAGACACATGACGCTTTTTAGGCCATCGAAATTAATAAACCATGCCCGCTGTCACGTTGTCTGATTCATCCTGTGGTCGAGGGAAAAAAGGGTCAAATATGTGATTTATTGAGATCACACAAAAGGAGGAGAGAATATCGATAGGGAGAGTCAGACTGTAAGTTGCCATAAAGTGTGCCATAAAACTAACCAACAAAATTGGTATGCGACAGCAACACAGAAGCATAAATGAGCATGTGATAATTACACTTGCTCTTGTCCACAGATTCTCACGAAATAATTATTTCATGGGCCAACTCAATATTCTATCAGCAACGCACAGCTAAACCCGTGAGGTGACACACTAATGATGCCAATTACCAAACATATTCCCACGTGACATGTTCTCCATGCACGTTCACGGATTTATCACATATAATGTCTGCGGCAGTGTTAGCTGTGTGTTTCCAACGGATTACACGACGTCTCAAAATTATTATTTCGCAGCAATTCTTCCCCTCTATTCAAGTGTTAAAATGCAAATATTCCAATGCTATGTTTCCCAGGGTGGCATAATATTTATTTTATGGCTCTTCTCTCAAACTGCAATTCTCATGCCGTTTGGCGCGTTCTCTAAATAAATATGCGAATTATAGACATTTCCTCACATCTCCGCTCATCCATTCCAACGCCATCAACAAGCACAAAACACACAGAGACACCATTTGAATGACTTGGACTTGGCAATTGGATGCCATAAAAGACAGATTTCTGTGTGAAAAATTTTGCCATAAAATTTATTTTCCTCCGCAAAATTGCAAGAAAGCGGAAAACCAATGCGAAGAAGAGATATTCGCAATACCACATATCAAATGGAAGTGGATTTTATTGGGTAAATTTTTATTATAAATCCTCCTTCCCTCACCGCAATAAGGATGTGCGCACGGGGTGGCGAAATTAGACATCCAAAGTGGATTTTGATTGAAGAATTGATTTTTCCTGTGGCTTCTCTGCAAGCAATTCGAAAGACGATATAATGGAAATTGATAAGAATTCTTCAAGTCAACAATGCCGAACACACACAAGTGCACAAAATTCCATGCCTTGAAGAAATAATAATCGGTCAGGACTTGTGGATTCTCCCACGTTTCATCCTCTCACATCGTGTAATTTATTTATCTTGGGCGACACACAATTTTCCTCCTTGTTGGAAAAGCTGCATTCTGGCCATTAGCACGAAAGGAGGCAATATCTGGGACGAAGTCGCCGCTCTAGATTCACCCACTTCTCGTGAGAGACTATTTATTTTTATGATTATTTCTAAACAATTGCAATAGTCACAATACACTCGAGGGTTGGATATCGCACGAGAAGGAAAAACAATTAAGCCAAAAATAGACGACAAAGTGGAGAAGGTGAAAGACTTTTCAGCTACATTAGTGTCAAGAACAGGAAGAGCTTTTAAGATATAACTTTCAATTCCATTTAACACTCTTTTGGTAGAAAATCTTACATTGCATATTCAGACGTTATTTTTTCCACACTCTTCCAAATTAAAAAAAAAAAATGAATCAATTTATTCAAAGATAAGTAATAGAATTCAAACAAAAATAATAAAAAATACTCAATATCAGCTTGAGAAAACCTATTTTGTTCACCTGACAAGTTGAACAAGTTCTTATTGAGTGAATTCTCGACCGATTTGTGAAATATTCCCATCAACAAACTCTCTAGACGAGAGCAAGTGAACTCCTTGTGAACTTTCTTGGATATCTTCGGAAGAAAACTTCACAAAGTGAATATCACGCAAACAAGCCATTTTTCCCCAGCAAAACCCAAAGCATCATGAAATACATTTTTCTCGCACCTTTCTCACTCTTTGTCGTTGGCAGGGGAAAAAAACGAGCAAACTCTGGGCAAGTGGATTGAATTTCACACGATAAAATATTGTCAGTGCCTTCAGGGGGTGTCTCTAATAATTTTCCACCCACACCCAGAATTGTCATGTTAGTTTTCCGCCGCGACAAAACAAACAAAAGAGGCCACACACTCGCGCCTGGAAAAATGTGCAGTGTTGTGCGCTGCAGACAAAGACCTGCACTCGAAACACCACGTCAAATGGCAAACTTGAGCATCTCACAGTGAAAAATAGCGAAAAGTCTCACCATAAATCCAGCCACAGACGTCCCGATGCGGCCGTCTGTCCAGTCACACCATCGGCATCCAGGCGATGCCCGCAGAAAGACCGTCGCGCAGAGCCTCTCGCCGCCCAGAGACGCTGCCCAGGAAGACTGTGTTGAGGGTGCTTCTGGACAGGGAAGTGCCACTTCGCGGGGCGTGCAGAGCGCAGTGAATGTGTGGGGGCTTCAGAGGAGAGAAAGGGTCGCGAAAGAATGTGACCGGGACATCCTTTTGGGATGAGAATTGACATTTAACTGATGCGAAACACTCATTCTGACTTTTCCTCGCCCCTCCTCAACACGTTGGGTGGGAAATTTTCGCCGCACCGCGAAAATTTTCACCATGGTGAGCATTTTCCGACGTGGACTTTTGGGCGGGAAACATTTCGCGCCATTGCAAAATTCGCTGCATGGCGAAAACACAACCCAGATGATCGACAATCCTAAAGGAATATGGCATGACAAACTGCTTACGGTGGGGAATATTTCAAGTTTTACTCAAAAATTTACCTGAAGATGTACGAATTTAGAGAAATTTTGACTGTAATGCTTTGTCTTGACAAATTTTTTATCAAATTCTCTAGCATTTAAGCCAGTTAAGCAGTTTCTTTCTATATTTTTAAATGTCCAGAAAGTTTTGTTCCCTTCTTGAATCACAAATTTTAGCAAAATAAAATAAATTACTGAAAAAAGAAAAAATATCTAAGGCAATTTTGCACTTTACTTCCACATGAATAATTCAAGTAAATGACTAAAATTACAAACTACTAACTAGTATGAAAACATTTCTAGTGGATCACCCTGTGAAATCACGTCAGCTGGGATTTCTCACCTAACCTCACAAAAGGAAGCGAGAAGTGTAAACAAACAGCTGAGGAGAGACTCTTCTTCCCTTCCCTGGCCAATTTCCAGACATACCAGACCGCAAACACATTGAGCAGGAATGTCAGACGGTGAGAAACTTGAAATTCGCATGGGAATGTCGTTAAAATTGCCTATTTTCCCGCAGAGGAAGTCATCAAGAGGCGCCTCTTGATTGACGGCGACGGAACTGGCGACGACCGGCGACTGAACGTCCTGCTGAAGACCTTCATCAAGTGGTGCAACACAGCCGACACTCCGGAGAACACCGCTGCCACGTACGACCGGATGCAGGCGCAGCTGGCGCAGTGCGAGTTCGCCGTGACCAAATCGGACTTCGCCACGCGAATGATGCAGCAGGAGTTGAAGAACTATGAGAGCATCTCGCAGACCATCGAGAAGGGCATCGAGCTGGCCAAAGTGCAGATTGAGCACAGCAAGGAGAACCTCGTGCTGGCCAAGAAGATCCGGAAGAACCGCATGGAGTACGACGTGCTATCGAAGGTGATCAACCAGCAGCCGGACAGGAAGAAGACGCTGCAGCAGTTGGATGTGGTGAAGGAGGAGCTGAATCAGCTGCAGGACTCGCGCCGACAGCTGCAGCGCAAACTGGCGAGTCGCCGGAAGGAGTTCCTCGTGCTCATGCGAGCGATAAAGGAGCTCCAGGGCAGTCTGCAGGACGACGATGAGGAGTCAGGTGAGGAGAACGCCGAATCACCGCCACATTCACCGCCTCTTCCGCGACCCATGTCGCCATAACAAGTCTCTTGTGTGGAAGCCGATTGAATTTTTATTGAATAAAACACAACCCCTTTTTGCTACCCCAACAATTGAGACAGTTTTTCTCCAGTCAAAAGTTCCCTAAATCCGAACGTGGAAAAAATGCACTAATATATTAATTTTGGCACGTTATTATGCTTCGATCGAAGCACCTCAATTTAAGCTCAAAAAACACCTTCAAAACATTTGGCAAAAGTGACGCGCGCGAAACCTGTGAAATCGGGAAGGAATTGCAAAAAAAGTACTCACACTTCAGAAGCCCAGCTTAATCTTCATCTTGCTGGTCTTGGGCACGTGGCGGATGGTGAGTGAGATCCTTCGGCTCCTCGTCAGGACGGTTCCGGACTCGTGAGTCGTTTCGCAGAGACTCAAGTTCGTCACGCGTTCGTCAATCTTGTCCTCGAAATACTCGTCAATCGAGTGCAGGTGATCGTGATAGGCCTCGTCCTTGATCAGCAGCAAGCTGCGCGGCTCCACGAGGATCTGCTGCTCCTCCTCGCCGCCGGCGCTCCTCTGCAGCCGCAGAATCGTGTGCGATCCGCAGGAGATCGTCGAGATCACGGGATGAAAAAGCGGCCCGTCCGTGTGCGGCATGATTCCCTGGCCGGGAAGGTACTCATTCACCAGCACGTGGTTGGCCTTCTTGTCCTCCAGCACGCCCAGATTGTTGATCTTCTCCACGAACGTCAGCAGCCAGCGCGGCATCTCCTCGGCAATCATGCCGTTCTTGTGCGGCACGCCGCCGTAGTTGATCAGCCGGCGGTTCAGCAGCTGTGTCCACTTCGGCTTCGGCGCCGACGCCACGGACGCCAGGATGTGTTTCTCTTCATCCGACGTGATGAAGTTGGGAATGTAAATCACAGTCTCTGGACACTGGAATCAGTAAAGTCGTTAACTCATTAACGGATAAAGGAGTAAAAATATCGAACTCCGAAAGGTAATTCTAAAATATCAAGATTTCAGGACAACAAATCCTAAGTTCCTAACTTCCAATGCTTTTAGAAGAACAGCCTGACTTAAATCCTTAACGAGAACGTAAACGAAATTGATAAACTAGGCATAGATTTGTTGTTCCCATCGTCCTATTTGGTTAAATACTTATGAAGGACGAGTTAAATATCTTTCTAGCCAACTCATTGCCTAGGATATCCTTTTTTCTTAGGCTGTCCTTCAGTTTTCTGACGCCGGAGGAAAAAACTCCATGAAAAATTCCTTTCTAAGCACGTTATGGGTTAACTTCGACGGTTTCTCGAAGCTTTTCATGGCATAATCGCCTAAAATAATAATTCTCTTCCGTCCTCAATTAAGCTCGCCTGAGGAGGAGTTTTATCGCCCGCCAGACAATCAGATAGCCTGAAAATGTATCACCGCCACCCAAATCTTCAGCCCTCATCCTCAATCATCGCCTCTGATGGATGATTCAGGGCAAAAATTCGCAATTATTCAGCCGAAAATGAGGCGCACGTGAATTGATGAGGAGCCTTGAAGAAGGGATGAAAAATTGGTGGGCAAATCGAAAAGGAGTGACCCAGAAATATTTATCTCCTTTTTACGCACCTGTTGCTCAGCGCGGTTTGATCGATAGCGCCAAGTGTGGAGAATCCAAGGCGGAATGGGAAGTTCTCAAGAGGTGACTTCAGTTCTCAAGGAAGTGGCGAAGAATGAACAACGCTGACAAGGCGAAAAAGTCCAGGAAGTTCACGCACTCGTGCTACTTCCACAAGTGCAATGAGATCCTGCACCTCATCGTGGAGTGTCACTGTTCCGGCGGCGAGGAGGCCAAGAGTGAGCCAACGAACAGGAGAGTCAGCTTCCAGAAGCTCAAGGAAGCGCCCGGAAAGCGCGAAAGACGTCCTTCGCGAGAGCCCGTGTCTCTGAACTATGTTCTCATGGAGAAATACCTGAGGGACGAGGCTGCTCCGCACCGAGGGAAGCTTCTGCAGGCCATCCGCTGGCGACTGACGGGAGATTCTGGTCTTGGCGCCAAAACAGCCCGCGAAGTTGTGAAAAGTGATCTTTTGGGCGTGCGAAAGTTCACCGGGAAGATTCTAGAGACGCTCTTGTGGACGTCCGAGAGGAGGAAAGAGACACACCATCTGCAGAACTCAGCAGCGAGATTCCTCAATGCACTGGCCAGTTATCCGGAAGGTGTTGAGTACCTTGGAAGAGCTTCAGTTGTGGAATCCCTGACTTTCGGGGAGCAATTCGCCTTCATCTCTCTGAACAGGCAATTTGTGGACACTCACACTGCTGGTCAATTGCTGGGCACGATGAGACGCTTGAGTGGACGCCCGGAAGTAGCCAGAGAGATGCTTTCCCGGAACTTCCTGCCTTGGATCATTGAGTATCTCGAAGAAATTGAGTATTCTGGTGGAGATTATCAAATCCATGAGGCTCTGGGACTCCTGACAACCCTTGTCAGTTACCCTGAAGCCTTTGGAGAGGAACTCTTCAGCAGAGCTGCTCAGTTTCTGGCCTTGTTGGCCAGATATCTCAACAGAGGCAATGAAAATCACTCACGGAAGATTCACAGCATCGCACTGAGTCTCTTAAAGCGCCAGGAAATTGCCACAGTGGCCAGGGCGATGGACTTTGAGAAGATCCTAACAACTTCACCTGGTCAGGATGTCAAGAAATCCACCCAAAAATCATCCGGAAGAGAAATTGACAATGAAATCGATGACAATGACCCAGTTTCTGATCTGCCAGGACTTGAAGGTGAAATCTTTCTGGAAGAACACTTTGCAGAGCTGAAGCCAGAGGTTTTGAAGAGTCAGGAGAAGACTTCCCAGATTCCTGTGCGGGTGGAGAAGCCCGGAAAGAAGGAAACTGCAGAGGTGTTGAAACAACGTCCGAAGAGAGTGTCTAAGAAGGATATTCTAAGTGACAGTGATCCAGAAATTTCCCAGGCACTCAAGGCCATCTTCCCAGGTGATGGAGAGCAGGAAAAATAGCGGGAAATCCCATCTTAAGCCTCAGACATAACCTCACTCTCCTCTGCAATCTTTCAGCAGAGCATTTCAGACAATTTGTAATGGTATTCAATTATTTTCACTCACCTGCGTAACAATAAAATCACTATAATCCATCTTTGGGCTTGGTTTTTCTAGTTTATTGCGTGGAAATTGGTGAAAATAAACAAACAAGTGAGGAAAACATTTCTTGCTCTAATTTTGTGTCGCTTGACGCACTATGAAGCATATGTTGCATAGCATCAGCTGTTGAAATAAGAAATAGAGAAATTCATGTTTCATGCGTTTAAAGCGTGTTTCAACAGTTCATGGCCACAAAATAAGTTCAAATTGACCCAAATTTATTACAGAACACATTATTCTGATATATTTTAGCGCATTACATATAATTCCACTGTAAATAGTGCAAATCTGCCGAGTGGATCAGCAAAAACTCGTCTGTTTTGTATCAGAAACTCAAATTACATGCGCATTCAACTGTAAACTGCACATTTACAATAAAGGCTCAATTACAATCCTTCACTGAGCCTCGAGGAGTCTCTTTGCAGGCGGTCCGGCATTGTTTCCCGCACCCTCTCACAAAAAGGTGCCGTGGCAAGAAAAGAGGCTGATTGTGCAAACAAACCGGGTCACAGAATTCCCACTCCAATTGGCACAATAATAGTGTGTCTTTCGCTAGTCATTTTCATGTGAGATAATCTTTGTCAATTTGTTCTGAAATCACCCACAAATTGTTTAGATTTGCGGGTGTAATTTGTGGTAATTTAATTAAATGCTCACGGAAGGGCACTTTTGATGGTAAAATTGGTAAAATTACATAAGAAAAAAAAGATCGAATTGACAGATAAAATTACAATTCGGCGGAAGGGTGGAAAATTCGCACTTTTCATGGACAAGTAACATTAATTTTTACAGTTTTCCTCTCAAAGTTGTTTGGTTTATCTGTTTTTTGAAATATTTCTTCTAGAATTTGACTGTTTAAATGATAGATAAAACCAAGATCTTGAGATTTCGCAAGTGTTCGGAATTCCTCGTGATGCTATCGTGAGGCGGGAAAATTCAAATTGAAATCAATTACGAGGGTAATAAAATAATTGAGACACAAAAGGGAAAATGTGCCTTCGAATGAAGGGGAAAAGCTTCAACTAGAACTTCCGTTTCCCGAAAAATCTGCCCTCAGTTCACACATCAATTCGCCAATATGTGAAAATTGCAGAGTTCCGTCTCGCCTTCTCGCTCACTCACCCTCACATGGGAAATTACAATATCATCCCAGTATCGAATTTCCAGCACAGGCTAAAGGGAGAAGTTATGCACAGCTTCTGGGCTGTGGATTATGATTCTACAGCGCGCCACTCATGAGGGCATGAGAATGATTGGGAGACAAAAGGGGCGTCTTGAATTTCGCCTGAGCTGGTGTTTCTCTCTGGCAATCCCAAAGGACGAGGAATCAGCCAAGGTTAATTCACTAATTGAGCCTCATTTCCAAACGCACTGCGTCGCATTCACTTTGTCCGCGTAATTATTTTTGATTAATCAATTAGTATAATTCATCATGACGATTTGAGGGAATTAAATTGAGACCAATCGAGAGTTATTGAGAGACAAGAGCGCTGTTTAAATGACGAGCAGAGGCGAAAAACAGTGAAAAATTATCCATAATTTCCGAGAGATGCTGCATTGGCGTGGCCATTGTAAAATTTCCCCAGCAACTCATCGCCCAGAGTTTTAAGAACATATTATGGCCATAAACATGAGGAGGAAATTTGAGGAAAGCCAAAGAGGGTGAGAGACCGAAGCGCGTCAGAGCTCAGCTGTCAATCAAAGGCAGAGTATAAATCGGATTTAGCGATTTATTAATGTGGCGAAAGAGCTCAAATTTGGGATGCGTGAAAGGAAGTTGTTTAGAATGCATCGAACGAAGAGTCCCAGTTAATAGAGCCCATCCGGCAAGGGTTTCCACGTCATGGACTTTGCAAGCGCGCTGTGTGTGTGTGAAAATGGAAAAGTTTCTCGCTGGCGCTAATTTTAGGTGAAAGTGGAACAGTAGGACTCTGTCTGGCGATGGCTGGAAGTTGATGGAGACATTAGGACATCAGGCAGAGGGAGGGAGAAAAAACTGGCGCCTCTTCTGGAGACAGAAACCAACTGGCTTGTCATGAAGATTACATCTCGTGACTTCTCTCCAGAAAACTCCTTCATTATCGATGGTGACAAAAGTCGAGGGAAAAGAAAAGTGGAGAAAGATTTCCCGAAGATTACTCAGCAAAAAAAAAACTTTACCAAACACAAATATTACTTAAGCGTGAGTCTTTCAGCGGAAGTTTCTTAAATCCCACTAATATAGAGAGGGATGAATTAGATTTCTTGCACTCTTCTTCTTACGTATTTGCCGTATTTGTTACGTGTCGACGGGAAAAATTGGGAGAAGTGGAACAAATTTATGGAAAAAAGAATAACAAGTGATTTTTTACATTATAAATTATTATATTCAATTCTCAAGCAGTGAGCAAAAGTAAGAATTAGATTTGAAAAAAAGAATCAAGACAACTGAATTCGAAAATCAAAATGCAATAGACTTAATTTTGCAGCACAAATTCTCAATACAACTAAAAAGAAGAACACTTCTTAGACTCTCCTTGGCCTTGGTTTAAGTTTCAGTGCTAGAATTCGATCGATAAAATAGTAAAATAATTCTACAACTTACTTTTCTCTATTTGGTTTAATGCCTTTTTCAACAAAATCGCAATAAAAATGCTCTACTGGCATTTTAAAGTGTTTATCTTCATCTTGAGGTTTGAAAATACCGTGTGTTTGTTTGATGGTATTTTCCAAAATCCATCCACATTCGGTAACATACGCATTAGCTTGGCTGTTTTGCTCGTCGCAAGAGAAAAAAGCGACTTCCATTGCAATTTTTCTTCCCATAGATAAAGTTTCCTTTCAGCGCTCCAGAGTGAAAAGTTTCCTTTTCACCGGTGGAAAGTAAATAAGTATCTTTACAACTTTCCCACCTTTCCGCCCGGATGGATTGGTGCGGATTCTGCGGAAGAACTTCGTGCCTGTTTTCGCAGGCGCACGCCTTGGAAAAATTGAATTATTTAAATCTTTTCCCCAAAATCTGCCAAAGTGGGTTTACTCGTGTGCCTCTTTTTTTGCCATCATTGGGAAAAGAAGACGAAAAAAAAAACCGTGCGTTGCGCTGAATTGTTTACGCGAGCCGCGAAGATCTTGTGTCAAGTTGTCTTGCATCATCGCCAAATCAATGTCACTCGTGGAGATGTGTTTTCCACCTTCCTGGCATTTTGTCACCGCGGAGAAAATGACTGGGGACTCGGTGAGAGGCTGCGGCTGTTGGTGAGCCCCAAACCCGAGCGCGGGCAGCAATTGCAGTGCCGTTTGGCGCGTCCCGGGGTGGAAAAAAGTGGATTGTATCCATTACGATGTGAAGGAGACAGACGTATGATTATGTATGGGGCATATTTTATTGATACCCCAGACCGCAAGGACGCCGGCGCTGCGTCGCACAGGCAAAAAGTGCTCTCCTTTTTGCCCAGATGTGTAATTTGTGATAGCGTCTCAAAATATCCCATCTGCCTCTAGACAGAGCGAGAAGCCCCTCTGGGTGAGCAATGAATCCAATCCCTCTCAATGTCGCCCATCCGGTTGATGGTGTGGTATTCCGGGCATATGCCGTCTCCCTCTGCGGCACCGCTCCGGCCGCGTTGCCCTGGCATTGGCGCGAAAGAGACACGGCGCACCGTAGTTCCCTCCTTCCCAGCCGACGATTGGCGTTCTCGTGTCGGCTAATCGTGAGCCAGGCAATGGCATATTCTGGGCGTTCCTCGGCGCCGACCAGAGAGAGCTGCGACCTGAACAATGGCAAGTCAGTAGCTATTCGACGGTCTCACGGCGCGGGATACTCGCGCGCGCGATCTGCTCAAGCACCCAAGCGAACTGTCCGCGGCGATCGAGAGTGCGTGGTGATCAGGAGTGGCATCCGGTGTCGCAAAGTGAGCAAGATAATCATCCAGGGTGTCGACGGTGCCGTCTGTGGCGTCCCGAATGGGGGTGGGTGGCGGTGTGCGAGTCCGGGAGTGACTGTGGATCAAGAGTGTGATACGTGCACAGCTGGCAAGATAGCGCCCAACGGCCACACTCTGGCGGTGGTGCGTCCATCCATGGTGGTGCCGCCGGGTGGCAGTCCCCCGGCGGCCTCCGGCCACCCACAGCAGCCCCATCACATTGTGGCGCCCAGCCCTCTGTTCGCGCTGCCCACGCTCAACTTCACCGCCGCCCAGGTGGCCACGGTGTGCGAGACGCTGGAAGAGTCTGGTGACATTGAGCGCCTGGCCAGGTTCCTCTGGAGCCTACCCGTGGCGCACCCCACGGGCATCCGTGAGCTGGAGAACTCCGAGGCGGTGCTGCGAGCACGCGCCATCGTGGCCTACCACACCGGACACTTCCGGTGAGCGTTTGTCCTTCCTACTCCCTTTCAATACTCGCTTTCAACAGTTTGCTGTCCAGTGGTTCGCATTCCTCAAACGCAAATCTCTCACGCAAAATTCAACCAATTTCCCCATAAATCCTGTTTAATAGTCACTCACGAACATTGAAATCATTTCTGCGTATTCATCCCCAAATCTGTTCCCATTCGTTGTACAAAACATCTCCTCCTTTTATGCCAAAGAACATCATTACTTTTTCTCCTACATAGGGATCTGTATTCAATTCTGGAGAGGCACAAGTTTACAAAGGCATCCCATGGGAAATTGCAAGCCATGTGGCTCGAGGCGCACTATCATGAAGCGGAAAAATTAAGAGGTCGGCCTTTAGGTAATTTTGTTAGTTGACCAAAAAAGACAAGCCTTTGAAAATTGTCTGAAAAATTCCGAATCTATATTAGTTAATTCACCAGCATCGATATTCATACGCTCTAATCCAATTCCGCCGCCGCACTTTGCAGGACCCGTGGATAAATATCGGGTGCGGAAGAAATTCCCACTACCCAGAACGATCTGGGATGGTGAGCAGAAGACTCACTGTTTCAAGGAGCGCACGAGGAGCCTCCTTCGCGAGTGGTATCTCAACGATCCCTACCCGAATCCCAGCAAGAAACGTGATCTAGCCCAGGTAATAGCCTCGCACCCACATTCCACAGCCCACACTAACCCTCCCAAATCTCCGCAGGCGACTGGATTGACCCCAACGCAGGTTGGCAACTGGTTCAAGAATCGACGGCAACGAGATCGAGCGGCGGCGGCGAAAAATCGGTGAGTCTTGAGTTTGTTTTCTTGGGATTTGTGGTCACCCTCCCGTCAGAGGTAATCCCCCATAAATTATGTGGTTAGTAGAGTGTGGAAATCCCCAAGCACAGAGACCCTCTATTGATAGTGACAACAGATTTCGCAGCAGGGGCGCCTCATTATTTCCATTGTGCAGTCCTAAATGGTGTTTGGGACACATGCAATAAAAATATTTGTTGCTTTCCATTCCGAATACGGACAAAAAGGACGTGCATCACACTTTCGGAAAAATATTATTTATTGGCCTCTGCACTGGACGTCTCAATCGTTGTGGGTTTATTCTTAATTTCCCCGGCTCAAGCACGAAAAGAGTGAGACCAGAGTTGAGCTGGGCATAGGAAAAGATAGATGAGAGATTAATTCGACTCGTCGGTAGCGTTATAATCGACAAATTAATAGATTTTTACAAATGGATAGAGTTTTAAAAAGAACAAGAAATAAAGAATATTAAAAAAAATTTGAAAAAAACTCATTTTGTTTAATATTAAATAAACTTTACTATTGTTCAAATAAATTATAAGTTTAATATCTAAGTAAGTCTTGTCCTAAAATCAAAATCTTCATCTTTATCTACACAATTCCCGCGAGACAGTCTGTGTGGCTCCTGTTCCTTTTGGAACAAGAAGCTTGCGTGTCGAGTGTTCCTCTATCGCGAATAAAAATGGTTAAATTACACCTGAATATCAACGGGAAATGCGGCCGTGAGTAAGAAGGATTGTGGCTGGGAATCAAAACAGTGGAAATGTTTAATAATTGCAGATCAATAAATTTTGTGTGGCGCGCGCGTTAAAAGGAAATTGTACGGTTGGGTGTTTGTAAGTTTCTCGAGAGGAAGGCTCCGGCTTGAATTTATTATCAAACGATATCCACCGTGATGTCTTATTGCAAATAAATGTTTCAATACTAAAATATGATACACTGTGGCCGAAGGGAGAAGCTCCAATGCTGGCAGGGGAAGATTTATGGCTCATGGCGATGGTTTTAATCGTCCCGCCACTGGTCTCGTGCGTGTGGTCAGGCTTTTTGATGGAATAATCAAGACTGGGTCAGAGGCTGGCCCAGCTGGCTAATTATGGGACAAAAAACCCGCCCCCCGAAAAGCGTTTTGGGGGGTTTCGGGGGCTGAGATTTTCACTCTTTGCCACTATGATAATCCATGTGCTCTTCTGGCCTGTTTAACAATTCATCTTCGAAGCCACTCTTGGCCTATTTGTGTCAATATTTGAAGCTCTGCTCGGAGCTTTTTGGCCCCTCTGTCTATGTGGAAAAGCTCTCTGGGTCGCTGCTCATCCGCAACGCCATAAGCCATTGAAAACAGGAAATTGCTGCTGAACAATTTATTAGGCACAGAGGCGGCATAATGAATTATTGGTGGAAAAACATTTGTCGTATGGGGAAAAACGTTTCTAGTGTTTATCTCTCATTGGTAGGTTTTTCTATCACATAACACAACTCCCTATATTTGTTTAATTTGACCCTTTTTGCTGTGCGCGCATCTCATTTTTCTGACACATTCTCGACTGCACTTTGCAAACTTTAACACCTCCATTGCGGAACGTCATTTCCTCTTTACAAAATCCACCTTTTGATGCACTTTTCCTCCTCATCGCTCTTTCGCGCCGCGCGTTAATTCCGCATCAATGTGCCGAAGGATAAATTGTTGTGGAAGCAATGATGATGATTGTGTTACGTCTCCATCGCTCTCCCACCCTTCCCTTCTGACACCCATGATTAATTGACACACGATGGGGTTAATTATTAAAAATAAAATTACCGACTCTCTTCTCCTGATGCACTTCATATGGCAGCACTCAAGGGGCCGTCGGTAACTGTTGTTCAGCGATGAAAATGCAAAAGAAATTTCCCCTCTCTTTTGTTTGTTGCTTCAGAGGAAAAAGGTGCCAATTTATTAATGAATTCACAAAATTGAATCAACACCTGAATTATTGCGAAAAAAAACCCCCACATTAATTCACCATGTAAGCTCTCTTGCTGACTAAATATCTTTCAACACCTTTTTCGCAATTGTAGTGGAAATATTTGGTGCGTGTTTCTATCGGGAAAATTTTAATTGCCAACAAATTAGCCAGTGAATATATTCAATACGCCACTTAATGAGGATTTTATTGAACAATTTGCTGGGGCAATTAATAGACTTGCCAGAGCATTGTCCCCTCTGACTGCCGCGGCAGTGCGGAATGCTCTCGCGGCCCTGGACCGCGGAGTATGTAAGGAAATGGTCTCGCGGAGGCACACCTCGACTTCATTTAGGTGTCTGTCACTCGGATTGGCTTACACAGTCTCTCAGAAGGTCTGCAAATGATTGTGCGCCTATTTTGAGGGGGTCGTTCAGTGTCGAACAACTGAAACTCTCAATATTTATGAAGTTGTTGTACAGCACACAAGAATCTCTTTTTATTCCTCATCTTCCTCTCAATCGGCTTGCGTCTCTTGGCCGCTGGGAGTATTGCAACTCGATATGCAGGCACAGTTCGGCATCAAAAATAGTGGAGCAGTTTACAAAAAAAAAATCCTCATGGGATTTCTCATGGAAGACCTTCATGGGAAGACGTTTGAGAAGATTAACGTTGGACTGTCTGATGAAAATATCAGACTATCATACGAGATTCCCATAGATTTTCATAAGATATTCCCATGTTTGATCCAATTCACGAGGCAAAACGAACAAGTTTTTTTTTTATTAATACCAATAATTGTGCTCCAGTATTTTTACCACTGCAATTCAATATATTATTCCGTGCAGTTGAGGCGAGATCGAAGGCTTTTCACTCTTTCAATGTATACACAAGTACAATAAATCGATTTACTGGCTCTCGTGGAGTCGCGTTCTCTCTCAATTTTCATCTCCTGCAGTTTGATTTATGATCTGCGTTTCATTTCACCGGTAGTCACAATGATGAGTGTTTGATTATTATTGAGCACTCCAGCATCCCCTTTTTCTTCCCATCATCTTGGACAATTCCTCCAGTCTCTTCGGCGAATCTACTTGAAATGCAACACCGGGAGGCTTCTTGATGAGATTCACCATCGAAATTGTCATGTCTTTTGTCGCGCAGGGCTTTTTTATCGCCCCCAAACCTGGTGGTCAAGTTGTCTTAATTTAATTTTTTCAAGTCATATTGATGGGCAAATTGGTGGACAGAACTGCTAATCTGTCGCTGAAATTCTGCGTGATTTTCGAGGATGAAACACAATCCTTGACTCGTGTTCGCTACATTACGCTGTGCGTGTCTCAGTTCAGGTGGAAAATGATGTTGAGAGATCAGAATTTGAGCCTGAGACTCCCGGAGTTGCAGGCATATGGAAGATACCCATCGAAGATCATCTCCCATTTCGTCCATATCCATTTCATGTGGTCCAGTTTCGGTGAATGGGAGTGGAAAAATGCCAAAAGCCATTTTACACACTCGAGACTAGGGTGAAATTTCAGCAGACAAATCTATAAAAAAGTGCCCACAAGATACACTTCAACTCTGGATTCGAAGTGCGCGGTGAGCAATTTCTCAATATAACGTTGAAAAATACCTCATAACAATTCCAATTGAGCCCCAAACAAAGACACACAATAGTTCTTTATGTGATGGAAAAAATACTTTTCCAATTTTCCATGGAGAAAATTCCCAATGAAAGGCAGAGGACAGGCAATCTAATTGAGGGCACGAGAGGAAGAAATTGAACGTGCTAAAATGATTAATGAGGCAGTTGCGTGATGAAATTTGTCTCTAATCAACTCACAATACAATCTAATTCCCAACTCCACTGCATTTCATATCCCATCTTTATCTCCTAATGAGTTCCGATTTACTTGATTTATCTACATTTCCTATTCCACTGACCGTTTTTCTCCTGCCTCTTTTTCCCTCCTTCCTTCTGGAGTCGCCACGAGAGTCGTCTTTTTTGCATTGCTGGCCCAAAAATCGTCCTGAGGCTCTTCAGGTTGAATCGAGTGGCTGAGAAAGTCATCGTAAAAATGATTAGTTTGAGCTCGAGTGGCCAGACAAATAGAATTATCAATAAAGTTGCAAGTCACCCTGTCGTCTTGTTAGCCCGCAGAGCAAGACAGCATCTTTTTCACTCAAATTATTACTTCTTTCAATTGAATTGGAGGCACCCAGATTATTGTGATAATCATTCTGTTGGCGCCATTTAATCTTCGTCATTTCATTCAATTCCTTCTGCATCGATTGTCTCCCTGTTGGTTTCCCCATTTGTTTCTCTGTTTGCCAAGAGTGACCACATCGAGAGGATCTGACAGTCCTTGTGACCAAATGAATTGCTGGTTGCATCGAAGAACTATTAAGAGCCCCATTGAATAGACATCATTTCCTCGATACAGAAGCTCATCGAGACGATAAATTTCTTCTCATTGGAGTGTATTTATAAACATCTTAAGCGAACTCTTTCAAAAGTTGGATTTAAATGGATGGAATTTCTATTAGTGACGCAGTTCTCAAGTGTCATTCCTATGGTTGATGTGTGTGTGTTTGTGAGATTGAATATGAAGCATCTCAACGAGCTTATAAATTTCTCGGACCTTTGAACTGTTGAATGCAAATATTTGGTTAAAAACGTCTTTTCTCTCACTTCATTCAGCTGAAAATCAAAGTTTGGCCTGATTTTTGTGAAAAATCATCCACTATTTTCACGACAAACAACGACAAAAGTTCATTAGTCTTTCCACTCTTTTAAGGAAACTCTTCGAATTTGTCCCAATTGTACCAAGCAAATTAGCAGAGGAAATCAAAAAAGTTTTCTTGGCACTTCCATAGTCTCTAAAACTGTACGTCTCTCACCCTCACGGCCCGCAATCTTCATTAGTCAAGATTGTAATCGATGGCTGTCACAAAACCTCGTGTGTTTGTTCAACTTAACACAAACATATTTCATTTTACATACTTTCCTGGAGTGTGAGAGGCAAATTGAGTCTCCCGTAATGTTGTTCTTTG